CTCGGATCGTGTTCGCCAGCCCCTTTTTCCCTCGATATATGCTCGAAAGCACGGAAAACGGAGCGACCGCTGACACAACAACTGACGCTAGACCAATCAAAATCATTCGCTCATTTCAGATTCGATAGAAGAAATTGCTGTATCGATTTATTCGCGAAGATATTTCGAGGGAAATTCCGTGGACTCTCGATAAGTATTTGTTTTAAATAATTTTTGTTGAAGATATAGGGGTGTCGTTAATTTTGTGTTGCCTAATATATAATAGTTAAAGGGGTAATAATAATATAATAATAATGTAGTAATATAATAATATAATAATAATAATGTAGTAATATTATAATAATAATATAGTAATATTATAATATTATAATAATAATATAGTAATATTATAATATTGTAATAATAATATAGTAATATTATAATATTATAATATAATAATGATAATATAGTAATATTATAATATAATAATAATAATATAGTANTAATGTCAACTGAATTTAAGTGGATGGTTAAAATTAGCATTGCAAATTTGAGGCTTAGATTTTGAGGAATTATAAAATTGTAAGTTTTTATTTCCAGAAAATTGAATTAGAATTTGCATTTTATAGACATTTTGCTTAGAATATATTTTTGTCTCAATAAGTCGAATGAGTATTTATTTGTTGAATATAAAATTGAATTGAAATTGTTAAATTTCTATAGTCTGTTTTAATCTATAGTCACAAATGGTTACAGTAAAGAAATTCAATGTATTTTAGTTGGTTCAAAAATTAAGAATAATGTCAACTGAAATTAAAAAGTTGATTCAAAAAATATCAAAAATATTCAATTGAATAGTCATTGAAATATTCAATTGAATAAAAATAGTCATTGTATACTATAAACTAGTCCTTCTATCATCTAAACCAAATCCAAATCATTTGGTCCACTTCTAAAAAAGTTATTGCATTTTTAAGGGCGTACGAATACTTTTTCGCCACTGCATTTGTCCACGACCGTATGCAAATGCATAAAGATTGGCGGGCTAGACACCGGAGAGACGGGCGAGAAAGAGCGAGGGGCACGGCGCAACGATGAAGGGAGAGGGCGCAACGACGAGAACGAGAAGGGAACAGTAAAGGGAGAGGGTGTAAAGACGAGAAGGAGAAGGGGCGAGGGTCGCATAGAAGAGAAGAGCAGTGCTCGCAGCACGCCGAGTGTACACCCTGGGTATTGGCTTACACTTCCAGCCGATTGGGCCCATGGTATTTACGCAGGACCCCGTAGAAAACCGGACCCCGCCCTCTCCTGCCCTTCGCTTGTAACGTGCAATTCCACGGAACTGTAACGTTTCCAGCGACCCGGACTCCGGGTCCCGGAGGAGTTCCCTGCGACATTCTTCGATACCGAAGAGGAAGGGTGGTCCGACAGAACATATCCCAAACTCTGATCCGAGTCGGCTCTGCTGCTAAAAAGATATTAATAAGGTAAACACCCGTATAACGATGACAGTGCGAGTTCATCGAATTCGTGTCGCACGAAAATTGTCCGGGTTTCCAATTTTTCCCATGTATTAAACATTTTGTTTCGCAGAAAAAAAAAAATTTGACAGAAGAAATAATTTCACGAATTCGTTGCGCACGGTGGGGCGGTGCCGATTACTGTGGGGTTGACACTGCTAGGTTCAATGGGCTTGAATATAGTTATTGAATATTGATGAATATAGATGAATATAGTATAATATAGTTATTGAATATAGTATAATATAATTGAATATAGTATAATATAGTTGAATATAGTTGTTGAAAACAGTGATGTCTCTCTAATTGACGCCCAGATTGCGCACATAAATGGACAATTTGGGAAGAGGAGATACGATTATTCGAGCCTTGTGGTTTATTTTTATAGTTATAAATTGCCCACAATTATAAAAACGAGCCGCAAGGCTCGAATAACCGTATCTCCTCTTCCCAAATTATCCATTTTAGTGGACAAACTGAGCGTCAGTAAGGGAGACATTACTGTATAGTTAAAAAAACTCGCGTTTACATTTCAAATAATGTATTATTTGAGACACGTACATTGCAAAAAGCAAATAGACGTTGCATCTTCCACAATTACGTTCATTAATTATTAAGAGATATATGTAAGAAATAGCTCATTTTTCGAAACAATTTATACTTTCTCTATAGATAGATTTTTTCTTTATACTAATTCATATATTCATATAATTACTTATCTATATAATTTATGCATTAATCGTAGCAAACAGAATTTCAAATAATTAACAATTATTAATACTGCGTGAAATAATTATTTCCAGTGCATCTTAAGATGTACTGGCATGGAAATCAACTAATAATTTTCATATAATAACATTATACAAATAAACAACAGTAAAACATCATATAACAACATTTAGTACTCATCCCTATGACGTTAAATAAATCTTGAAATATAATTCCACAAAAACAAGAGCATTTCGTTGACCATTTCCAATACTTTCTCAAATATTTTAACCCAGCTCCCCGATCCTGAAGTAGAAATGAGAAAACCGTTTCGACCGCAAAGGGTTAAAATGCCGCACAACACTCGAGATGAAACAGCATTCGAACGTCGAAGACTGATCTTTCCCGGTATCCCTGCAGCAATTCGCGGGGATAAGGGCATATCAGGGTTCACCAGAACGACGACGACGAGGACGACGTCGAAGGGAAGATCTGTCGAGGTGAGGACAAGTCGGCGGGGGTGGCAAGTGGAATAGGTAGCGTCAGGGTCTTTCGCAGCCGGGCTCACCGTTCACTGGTCAATAATCCACGAAAGGGAAGGCATTACAAGCCAGTGATCTCGAGGGTATCGGGGCCACTCGTCTGCGAGGCAGGACCACCGTGATCGGCGTGGTAATGGTATCTGAAGAAAATAATATCCTACTTCCCCGTCGTCCCGCTCACGAACCCCGGGGATATCGGTGTAGCAGAGACCGGGCTCGAAGGAGGAGGCCCCCGATCACCGATCAGCGATCGCCGAATGAACGATTAGTATCCCGTGTCGTCGGCATCGACGTCGGGCAACCCGTGTACTCGCAACGTCTTGCGTTTTACACGCTCGTCGACATGGATATCGCTCGAACTTCGAGCCGCCTCGCTGCGTCTTCCTAACCCCGAAGGCTCGAAGTTTCCTTTTCCGAATCGGATGATACCGAATTTCATAGCTTCTCTCTCGCTCTCTCTCGCTCTTTCTCTCTCTGCGCGTGCTTATGCGAAATCCGCGATCTGTGCGATTTCGGTAACCCTTCCATGGCGCACGACGAGCTGGAAAGCCGTTCGTCGGGGCGAAATTTGTTTTAGCGTTATTGGGAGGTTTGAAGTTGTAACACAGTGGGGCATTAAATTCGTTTTGGCACCAGCTATAATATTATGAAGTCGCTATAATATATATAAGCCAACTGTGTAATATAGATAAAGATCATATAAACATTTATGGACGGGAATCCTGCATAATTGAAGTCGTTTCGATTATTTTAAAATACTCATATATATCTATATATTATTATTTTATTATATATATTATTATATATATTTATATATTTATTTTATTTGTTGGTATATATTGTTGGCGTTCAACGATCATAATTCTCCTTGGTGCCCTTTTGTTTCAGCACGTGTACATACTCTGGATAAAATATATATAATTATTTAACTGGATACGCGGTATCGCTTTTTTGCTTTTTTCCATCATATATATAATAAAAATATATTTAAATATATATAGTTAATATTATATATAATATTATATAAATAATATAAATATATACAATTAAAATAATTGAAACGACTTCAATTATGCAGAATGCCTGGCCATAAACGTTCAACCAAATATCTCGTAAATGGTCGAAGATACAAAAAAGTTGAATCCAATGTATTTCCACGACTTTTATTCACTTTAAATTTCCAAATTTCGGAAAATATAAACAACAACTAATGTTTGTAATAAATCACGAAAACTCAAATCAATGAAACGTCTACTTCTTTCTGCAATTTTCCTAAAATATCAGTGTTCTAACCCTTCGAAGAAGTTTCTACGAAATTTAATAAAGAAAAAGACTGTCACATACGGTAAAATAATTTTCCCTAATTTTCCTTTAACGTACACACAAAAATGGACAATTCGGGAAGAGGAGACGACTATAAAAATGAGCCGCGAGGCTCTTCCCAAATCGTCCATTTTTCGCTCGCCGCAGAGATTCGCGAGCCTTTTGCATTTTGCATTTTGCCCTCCAAAGAGAGTTCGACAATCGTTTCCTGCAACTGCGATCTTCATTTCTGCGACAAGGGTCGATGAAATGCAGGAAATTTTCCCCAATTTTCGTTCAGCTTGTTAAAAGAAAAATGGACAATTCGGGAAGAGAACGACTATAAAAATGAGCCGCGAGGCCTTCCCAAATCGTCCATTTTTCGCTCGCCGCAGAGATTCGCGAGCCTTTTGCATTTTGCATTTTGCCCTCCAAAGAGAGTTCGACAATCGTTTCCTGCAACTGCGATCTTCATTTCTGCGACAAGGGTCGATGAAATGCAGGAAATTTTCCCCAATTTTCGTTCAGCTTGTTAAAAGAAAAATGGACAATTCGGGAAGAGAAGGCGACTATAAAAACGAGCCGCGAGGCACTTCCGAAATCGTCCATTCTTCTTCTAACAAGCTGAACGAAAATTGGGGTAGAATTTCCCGCATTTCATCGAGATTTTTCCCTTGGTCGCAGAAACGAAGATCGCGGTTGCACAGGATACGATCGTCGATCTCTTTGGAGGGCGGGAGAAGGGAAAATGCAAAAGGCTCGCGAATCTCTGCGGCGAACACCTTGCCGAGGAGGCTTGCGGAGAAGGTTTATAATACATTGGGGTAGGGGTACGCACGTGGAAGAAGAGGACGGTGCACACGTGGAACGAGGCCGACCGAGGGAGAGGAGAAAAGAGAACGAAGAAGAGGCCGGCCCTATGGTGGAGTGGGGTCGGATGGCACGTAGTCAGTGTGTAAGGGGTGAGAGTGGGTGATAGTAGGTGGTAGATCTCTAGTTAGCCAAGACACATTGACAGGGCATCTTGCCAGCATGGCAGCAGCACGCGGCACACTGTCCCTTCGAGATTTCTTGTTGTCACCTCGGAATTAACGCGAAACACTTCGTCGTCGACGTCGCGGGCAACTCAACTTTCCGGAGGACTCGACGAGATAAAGGATTCACCGACGAAATCGTGAACACATCAACGAGATAAAGGATTCGTCAACGAACTCAAAAGGGTTCGGGAAGGAAGGACTCGCCGAAAAGATCGCGAATTCGCTAACAAACTCAAGGATTTATCAGCAAACTCAAGGATCCAGAATAAAGGATCCGTCGACAAAAGGAACGATCGACAAGATCATGGACTCGTTAAAAAGATCAACGATCCATCGGGAAGCTCGAGGGCCGATCAACGGGCTCAAGGATTCGTCGACGGACTGAAGGATCGAGTAAAACTGCTCGTCGACGAAGTGAACGCTTCGAATCGACGAGATCAAAAGGATTCGTCGCGAGGGGTATTTCGTAGCAGTGCGACGACAGTTAGTGTTCCCGGGAAGTGCAAGTGCGGTCTTTGGTGCAGCTGAAGATGTGAGGGGACGAGATGTTCTCAGGCAGAGGTCTTCAGCAAGTGGGTTCGGACATGTCCGAGAGGAAGATGAGGAACTTGTACAAGAACAGGAAGAAGAGCGCGATGGAGCTGCTCTGAAGACTATGTGACGAGGATGTTGCTTACAGTGTAGACTGGAAAGTAAGGCTCTAGTGGAGTGAGGATAAAAAAAAGAAGAAGAAAGGTTTCACGGATTCGCGTGGCACTTTTCCTTTGTGATCCCGCAGGCCGTCGTAGGTGCCGCGTAATTCGTTGTTCTATCGTCCCGCGGGGTGACCGGAACTTGTTCGGCGATACAAAGCCGGCTCGAATTCGCCGCGGATGATTCTCCGCGGCTCGAGCGACCGAATCACGTGGAAGATGCGCGTGGTTTTCAGGCTATGAATGAAAATATCTGGCAGATTTTCTGCAGAAGCCTTTAGAGGAAACCGGCAGGTCTTCCAAGCCATAAAGGTACTTCCATACGCTCGGTCCATATGCACGCGTGCATTTTCCTTTCAGTCATTCATAAGAGTCATTCATGAGGCTCGCTGATTTTTTTGTCATCTCGACGGGAACTCGACGAACACGAATCGCGACGATTCGTTTTTTATTCGTTAGAAGAAAATACTAATTGGTCGATGGAAAACAGCGGTGATAAATGTTTCGTAGATTTCGCTGATTTTCGAGACGATTCGCCGCTGATTTTGCTGATGAAATGAAAACGTTTATGCTTTCGGATTATTTATCGAGAGAAACGTAATGATTTTCAAGATGTTTAACGACTCTTTTGATCAAGTGTAGGAGTCGAGAACGCGGACGCAGTGTCCCTTAAATTGAAATTCAATGAGAACATTGTTGCTGATTATTAGACTACGGATATAATAATAAAACAATAATAATAATAATAATAATAATAATAATCAAAATTGTCGGCATAGCCAGACGCAGGAAGAAATTGCAATTTCGTTTCTCTCTTAAATAATTATAATAAGTCTGAACTTAATCTCAATTAACAAATCGGCACTCTCAGCTTACGTTTCATTTTATCACCAATTTGTTGCCATAAACGTTATAAAATCCGCGGCCTACCGATTATAGAAAACGATTTTAGCAAGTCTCGTTTCATGGAACGTACAGTGATCAAATAAGTTTGGAAATCTTGTTGACGTAAACTTACGTCATCGGATCCTAATTCCATTACTGTTAAGCCGGTTCTGTTTGCTCTATTGATTAAATCGATGTATAAAACGTATGGCTTAATAAGTATCTAATGATGTAAGCTTCTCATTGAACTGAACATAACCAGACACATTGATCGCCACCGATTCTACGCTAAGAAATCGAAGACCTCGCGTATTATTATTTCTGTTACATTTAACATTCGCGTTGCAAAATATTGCGCAGGTTTATGTTCATCAAAAGTTCATCCAACGAATACAGAAATTGATTCGAAATCTGTTCGAACTATGCGAGATTTGTTGAACACGTCGAGATCGTTTAAAATTCACGGTTTGTCACGCATTTCGCGCACCCACACGTAGAATCCGCCACTCCGTCGAACGCGGTAAGAAGTTCTTTGAAATTATTTGCAAAAATGTTCACCAGCATTTTTGCAAGCAGAAGACAATCGTTGTAGCATCGAAATATTAATATTAAACTAGCAAATCCTTGTTGGGAATATTAACTCTTTGGCTGTTGAAAGATGCGACATGTTCGTTGAAATGTGGAAAAGACATAACGCGCTTAGTTTTTCTACTAGTTGTCGACGTATCGAATGTTTTATTTGTTATAATTAATTCTCCCCAATTTTCTTTCGGCTTGTAAATTGAAATGGACGATTTGGGGAGAGGAGATACGATTATTGGAGCCTTGGATCTCGTTTTTAATTTCAACAATTATGGAAGCGTCATGCAAGGCTCGAATAATCGCATCTTCTCTTCCGAAATTCTCCATTTTTGTGCGCAATCTGAGCGCGAATTAGAGAGAAATTACTGTATTAGTCTGCCGAATTCTACGAAGCTGCGAATATTCCAACGTGCGCTGTGTGCAATTCAATATAATTATAATCGTGCGACACTTGAGTATATATATATATATAATTATATATTATATATTATATATTATATATATAATTATATATAATAATATAAATAATTATATATAATTATAATCGTGCGGCGATGATTTTAAAAAATCAAATCAGTCGCAGAGACATTTCAAATTCCCCTCGATATTCAAAATGCTTCAACGAATTTCTTCTCTGTAACTTATTCTTATTTCAAACATAAAATCGGACTTCAAAGAGCAATATTTTAGCACCGACGCATGATGCACTTAATAAACAAAAAATCCCAATGAATAATGAAGAAAGAAGTTAATGAAAAAATCTCAAAGCATTTAAAACATCACAAAATACTGCCGTATTAACGCATAAAGAAATGGAAGTCGTTAGGTTCGCCGATTAGTACAATTTTTCCAAATCCCCTTCGTTTTCCATGCATTTTGAATGCAAAGTTCTTCGACCAAATTGCACGCAGCTCACGTCAAGACATTCGCAGCTCAATAAAAATTAACAGGCTTTTATATAAGTTGTGCAACACAACGGCATAGAGAACTAACCTGCAAAGCCACCAGACTTTATCTGATACCGCAAGCAAACTAACAGAATCCGGTTTCTTTCTCATTATCCTTTTTTTTACGGTATTAACCGCGTCATTAAGTCTAAACAAGAATCGAAGGCTCCTTGTAGAAAACGCTGTCAAAATTATCGACTATCTTAATGCCGATGGCACAAAAAAGTTCCGTCTTCCCTTCAACTTATTAACACGTTTCTCTGTTTTCTGCAACAGCTAAATGCAATAAACCGAGCAGGCTATAAAAGTGCATGTCTTTTATGCGTTGACACAGTAGAAAATGTATGGGAAACGGTGTCCTGTTTGTAGAAAATACTGTGCTAACTTTTTTACGCGAACGAAAGTCAAATGACCGGTCGTAGAAATTTGCAAACGATTTAATATAATCGTCGCTTTTGGGAGAGTCAAAATATAATTGTTGCTTGTAGAGAGGCAAAACGTGATTAGTGCTTACAGAGAGTAGAAATAAAGTCATCCCTTATAGCAAAATATAACAGTTGCTCTGAGGGAGCCCAAATATAATTGTTGCTTACAAATCGTCACGTACGAAGTCGTAATATAATTGTTGCTTACAGAGAGTCAAAATATAATGTTCACTTATAGATAGTCGAAATAAATTGTGGCTTATAGAGAGTTGAAACGTGATCGTCGTTTACAGAGAGTCAAAATATAATTGTCGCTTACAAAGAGTCAAAATATAATTGTCACTTACAGAGAGTCAAAATATAATTGTCTCTTACAGAGAGTCAAAATATAATTGTCTCTTACAGAGTGTCAAAATATGCAGTAAATTGTGTTCATTTAATATGATATAATGTTCATTTAAAGATAGTCAAAATGAAACTGCCGCTTATAGAGAGTTGAAACATGATCGTCGCTTGCAGAAAATCAAAATATAATTGTCACTTACAGGGAGTCAAAATATAATCGTCACTTACAGAGAGTCAAAATATAATTGTCTCTTATAGAGTGTCAAAATATGCAGTAAATTGTGTTCATTTAATATGATATAATGTTCATTTAAAGATAGTCAAAATGAAACTGTCACTTACAAAGAGTCAAAATATAATTGTCACTTACAGAGAGTCAAAATATAATTGTCTCTTATAGAGTGTCAAAATATGCAGTAAATTGTGTTCATTTAATATGATATAATGTTCATTTAAAGATAGTCAAAATGAAACTGTCACTTACAAAGAGTCAAAATATAATTGTCACTTACAGAGAGTCAAAATATAATTGTCTCTTATAGAGTGTCAAAATATGCAGTAAATTGTGTTCATTTAATATGATATAATGTTCATTTAAAGATAGTCAAAATGAAACTGTCACTTACAAAGAGTCAAAATATAATTGTCACTTACAGAGAGTCAAAATATAATTGTCTCTTATGTAGAGTCAAAATATGCAGTGAATTCTCTCTAATTAACCCTCAGCTTGGAAACAAAAACAGACAATTTGAGAAAAGGAAGCTCGAATAATCGCGTCTCCTCTTCCCAAACTGTCCATATTTATATGCAATCCGAGCGTCAATTAGAGAAAATTTACTACAATTGTCACTTGCAGACAGTCAAAATGTAATCGTGGCTCACAGAAAATCAAAATATAATTACCTCGGCCTCGAAAACGAAATTCCACATGAAACGTTACGTTTACGTCGACTCCCGTCGACGCGGACCATATCCCAACGAAAATATCAATCTTCAACTATAACCGCGCACACAGTATACTTTCTACAAGGACTCTCCCAATCACCCGCACATCGTCACAAATTACTCTCGTGTGTCACGATTCGCATGCAGCAGCACGACGATCGTTTTTGTCGCGGCTAAAGGGCGAACGAGAACGGTTCCTCGCACGGATTTGCTCGAAAGTTTTCCACGGCGGTTGTCTTCGTGATGGAACTCCGAATCGGCGGGGTGGTTGATTCGAAAATATTGCGCGATATATATCGACGGAAAAGTTGGCGATACTCACGGAGCAATGTGCGGTTGCTAGGGCGACCGGAGGGGCTGGACCGTATCTCCGACGAGAGGAGGAAATCCGTCCGCGTATTTTCCAGGGAGGCGGGGTGAAGGGGGTGTTTCTAAGGGCGGCTGCGAGCAGAAATTTCGCAGAGATGGAGTTCCTGCAGAATCATCACACGGTGAACACCACCGAGCCGCCGTACACCCTCGGCACAGGTGAGCCACAATCGTGTGTCACTGGAACAAACTACGCTAACACTTGACGTGGCGCCCACGGAATTTCAACTGTTTCGCCATAGATCGCTTTTCACGCTGTCCACGGGAACGTTGTCCCTCTCTCTCTCTTTCTCTCTCTCTCTCAGTCGTTATTTATCGTTCGACAATTTATGCTTCGCTGCTGTTTGTTCGCGGATGCCTCGGTTCTTTTTTCCAAGATTTTCTGGCCAGAGCGACTCGGTGTAACTTTGAATTTTGATTCGTTTATCAGGTTTTCCAAGTCATCGCATTGTAACAAGATCTCGTGCGCGATCTATAATAATCTGATATAATTATTCGCTTCTTCTATAATCGAAACGTTTGATTCTTCTGTCATGAAAGTCTAGGAACGAGAGTAAACGAAGGCGTACAAGAAGCGAAAAAACTGTCGTCTTGTTCTATCGCGAAAATTATCATGGACGAGGAGAAGTGCTAATCGAACACAGTTGCGAAAGAAATCGTTCTGCAAAGGGTTAATCCAATTGCATTTTTAGCTATAACGCGGTTTGCGAAACTATTTTGTTCTATAGCTTCTCTTGCGCTGAGATATTCCGTTTTCATTTCACGCGGCAAAGTAAATTCAGTTTTATTTTTAAATTTCAGTTTTGTGAATTCAGAGTTAATTTGCAAATAGAGATCGATATTTATTGGCTCCACGTTCTTGCAGAACAGAGATTTTTCTGTTCGAATTTTGTAGAAATATTAACGATTCTGTACCGTAAATGGTAATATCGCTGCTTTTTCAGTAAACGTGACAGAGAATTAAACGTTTAACCCTTAATTATTCACCTCTTTAAGTTTCTAGTCGTTAACAGTTAACTTTGCAGCATTTCAACTCGGTATTATTTATATTACATTGACTTGGTATTATTCAACCCCTTAAAGAGCATTCCCGTGTCACGTCGAATCAACGAAGAACAGTTTCAAACGTTGCAAACATTATTAAATTTACAATTACGTTCCGTGTTCCATGCACAAGAGCTTCCATCGCCAGAGAATCGAATGACATTTCCTTTCGATAATCGAGTGAAAACAAGTTTCAAAATTGTTCAACAGAGTTCCGTAAATGATACGTACGAAGTATCTGTGCGTCAAGGGGTTGGTACGATTTTCAGGGTGAAAATTGATCCGCTCTGTGTCGCAAAATGTATCGGATTGTCCGAAAAGTTCGTTCGATTCCTGTACAACGTTCCACGGACAGAAATAATTGACAAGTGCGTTCGTTTTCATTTTAACTTCGATTAGTGCGCCGTCCAGTGGATATGAAACTTCGAAAATAATTGTCTCGTAACCTCGTTTGTTCATTGGCTTTCGATTGGATCGCTTCTTTGAAAACGCGAAGCTAGAAATGAAGTTCAATTTGTGGAGTTCGAAGTGTAAATCGAATGTGGATGAATTGTCATGTCGGAAACTCTTGTGCAGCCATTTCCGAGGCGGATTAATAACAACGTAATTTTCAATTAGTTTCTGTAGCCGGGCGATTCGTTAAAGCTCCGTTTAAATTTCCTATCTTTCCATTAGAATTCTCTACAAACTCTTTTCTAACACTTCGAATATTTAATCACTCTTGCACTCGTTGTTCCTGTTCAAAGTCCTAACATCAGCGAATTGTTCAAAGGCGGAATGACTGGCTAATATTAATTACAATTAATAATTTATTACAATAGGCTCGTGCGACGCAACACAATTGTTCTAATGACAACCGAAACATGAAATATTCGTCGGTCAATTCAGAGCGTATCTCGCAAGCAGCTTCAAAAACGAATGCAGCAAAAATTCGAATAATTCGTTTAATCTATCTTTTTTGTTCAATGGAACAGGTTCGGTAGGAAGTATCGAGGCCACGATACCTTCCGGCCTGTGCACAGGACCTCTCGGGGTGTTGTCCAGCGAGGACACTCTAACGGACAATCAAAACGAGGACTTAGGTGCTCTCCAGGGCACCCTTCGCCTGCAGGACCTGCAAAGCTCCCCGGACGATATTGGCGCCGATCAGAGTCAACAGATCCAGAATTCTGGACAGAACCAGGTCGTCAGCGAGTTCGGGGCGAGCTTCTGGGTCGACGACATGGCCGGCTTCCCGTTGCCACCTCTCGATTTAGACCCTCTGCCGCCTGGCCTCTTCAGCCCTTGTTCTGGGACTTATAAGTAAGTGCGAACGATCTCCTCGGGCCCCAAATAAAATTTCACTGCGGCTAATTGTCCGACGGTATGTTCTTCAATAATTAGGTCGATATACCTCATCGCGTTTACAAAATTTATGTGAAACAGTTTAATTATTATTCAACCTTTGAACCGGTTTATGCATTTTGATTTCCTGCGTAAGGATCGAAACGCTGGGATCGATTTTGCGTTCACTGTTACCATTTCCAAACGAATATCTGATATGCTGAATAAATGAAAGTTTGAAAATAGGTGCAATTATGTAATTGTATATTCGAAGTAATGTTCGATCATGTAACGCAATAGGAATCTCGGTAAAAAGGGGTTGGTTCAATTCTTCTTCTTTCTTTAGTAACGAACGAACGTCCTTGAAATGTTTTAAAAAATATTTTATGTTAGTTTATGAGTAGATCAGGTTTCCTATAGTCGATTTAATGAGTGAAAGAGATTTTTGTCTCAATTCGGTGCGTATTAATTAAGTCACAATTCTGTTTTAACTGAATAACTATTATGTTAGGAATAAGTAACAATTCAGTTTGAAATAAGCAACAATGTAGTTTTAACCAAGTAACGAGTCAGTTTTAACAGCCCTTGGAATAGAGTTTAGAATAATCCATCATTGATGATATTGCATAAAAACAATGGATAAAGTCTCGCGCAATTTAAGCGCTTCCGTCTGACTAAAAGTCGGACTTTCTACTTGAACGCCCAATGCTACTGCAGCGACTTTATGCGATCGCTCATGCTCCTAACTAAATAACAGAGAATTCAGAGCAGGTTTTACTTGAATAAAAACGAAGACGTATTCGGGGAGAGGAGTGCATATTTCTGGGCTGAAATTATTCAGAAAGAATATATTATGTTTGTAGACACCCAGAAAATTAGATATGTACCTTAATTACTCAGAATATGGTGGATATATTAATTGAGAAAACGGCGCTAATCTTCTTCTTTTTCAAAGCTGTTGCTAACTGTAATAATGAAAGATCAGAGAGACGGTTTAAGCATTGAAAAAGAATAGATTCTATTTAACAGGCATTACTGTAAACACAAAGCTTTCTGATTCGATGAAAGATAGCTTTAGTTGTAAAACGATAGGATAAATGACTGTTTTAGTACTAAAAAGAATGGATCATTTTGACGAAGCAAAAGACACTTACATTACCGAAAATGTAACTTCATTCGTCTGAAAGAATTGAACAAGGAAGCTGTAGTATTGAAAAATACGATAAACAATTATTTTCATAATGGAAAATAGTAAATCCTTTCGATGCAGTGAATAAAAAATGATATTGCTAAAAATGCACCTAATTTCGTTCGTCTAAAGAACTTGAACAAGGAAGTTAATTTTAGTATTGTAAAACAGCATGCATGAAGCAAGAAAAATTGCATGAAGCAAGCATGATCGAGCAAGAATTATGTTACCAAAATAGTAAATGTTAAAGCTATAATTTTGTAACTTCATCTAACAGATCGAATCGAGAAAGCTAACTTTATTTCTGAAAAGAAAGGCGACGCAGTTTCAGCGCTGGAGAAATGCAAATCATTTTTGTTCGAGCCGACGAGAATCGTGTTATTAAAGAAAGTAAATCATTTTGATCGAGTAGACGCGAAGCATGTTATTAAAGAGGGTAAATCGTTTCGCTCAAACGAACGAGAATTATGATACTAAAATAATAAATCCGTTCGCAAATAACCCGGCTGCCAGAAAAAATGGTGTGAAAACTCTGAAGAGATCGCACGATCGACGCCGTATTCGATGTAATTTTCAAGTGTCCTTGCAGCTGGAGTTGTACCCGCGGCGAGTGCGCGCCAAGAACGGGCAACGCGAACGGCGAAGGTGTCGCGGATGTCCTGCTATCTCTAAAACATGCGGTGGTCCATCCCGGAAGTCCTACGGGAGGCTACTACTCGACGGGAGGATCGAGTCATCATTACTCGCAGGATTACACGCAAAATCTCGGTCCGCCCGTGCCGCCCACGCATTACGCGTCCACGCCGGCCATGTCGGTGAACGTTTCCATGAATATGACGATGAACATGAACATGCACTCCGGGTGAGTATGACTTTCGTGTACGCGTTCTCGCCTCGGTATTTCTCAGCTATCCAAAACAGATGTTTGATCACGTTCCGGTAGCTTTGTCGCGCTCGCGCTTTCTGTCGCGGTCGGAAATCGTCGCGTTCTGCCGCGTTTATAAGGAAATTTGATCTTTCTTTCTTTATCTTTCTGCGAAATTAAGAGTTTCCGCAACGATCGAATGGATTAGAATCACAGTGGCGTATGTCAAAGTTTCGGAAATCTTGACTTACGCCTTAAAATGTAATCTTATCGAGAAACGTTGGAAAGACGAGTGAAATAAATTATGAAGTAAATTAACGTAACTCGAGATTATCTTAACAATAAATTTTCTGTGTAAATAATACAGATGTTGGTAAACGAGAACACTCCTTGTTTCTCGCAATGAGAAGAATGTAATTTACAGCACTGTTAGTCTACTCAAATTCAATTGTAAGAAATAGGAATCCGGTAAAAAGCTGTTTTCCGTTTGAATCGTTTCTAATCTAGTACATTATTATCAATAATAATGAAGAATAATATAGGAAAATAATAAAAAAATAATAATAAAGAACAGCGAATACATCGGAAGAATTTCAGAATATTGTTACATTATTTTCAATCGATTGAAACGATTTAAAGAGGAAACACATATTTATTTAGCTTCCGTTCTTTCGAATTGAGTCGCTTTGCACGAAGATCCGCAGTAATTAGACTGCGAATCCGTCTAATGATTAGACTGCATTTAGCTTAGATCATCCGTGAAAATTAAAAAAGAATTATTAACACGAGCATCAGCTAAAAAGAATTACTGTAACCAATTAAAATCGGAAAAAGGAGAAGGTTTTCCACGCGGAAACTTGATTTCGCGTACAGCAGATCCGTCGGTCTATTAATTAGAAAAGGCAGCGCAGACTCCCTCGTAGCCGAGACAATGAATCGCCATTTTCCTCTGTCGAGGGGTGCGCAACCCTCGGCGGGGGAGTTGCGAGAGCAGAGTTATTCAATGGTTGTCTGCGTGCAGGTACGAGCAGAGCTATTCGTCGGCATGGGGCGTGGAGCCCCTGCTAAGTCCCGCCCAGCAGTATAATCCGGTGGAGCAACAGACGAGGGTGAATCAACCCCCGGCCAATAGCCTGATCGGCACCAGCACCCATCCTCATTCTCATCCCCCGTCGCACGGCCATTCGAGGCTGCAATTGTCTAGCGAGCATGCGCTATGCATAGGCGCTTCCGGGAACCCGGTCACCACCGATGACAATGGCAGGCCTAACCTGTGCAGAATATGCGGAAAATCGTATGCACGGCCCAGCACCCTCAAGACGCATCTCAGAACGCACTCCGGTGAAAAACCGTTTAGGTTAGTCGCCATGGTGATTGAATCAAACGGCCGAGGATTTTATAATTTTATGGGGAAAGTCATCTTTGCGATCGAAGCCGTTTTAAACAGTTTTTCTGGCATACGATTTTATGAATTAATATATAATAATATAATATTATAATATTATATATAATATAATATAATATTAAAATATTATATATAATATAATATAATATGAATTAGGGTAGTGGAGCCGGTTACTATAGGGTGACCAATTGCTGTGCCTTCAATTCGTTTTTTAACTTTATATTTATCGCGTAAGATAAAATTCTTTTGTTTATTTTTTTATTAGAAAAATGTGATTATTCTTTTAGTTTGTTTATTTTTGAATAAAAGAATTTAATATATATCTTGTGCGATAACTATAAAGTTAATGATATTGAGTTTTGTGACTCATGCAACAGTTACACTTTCAACAGTTTTTTAAAGTATAAACAAAGTTGATACTGTAAAAATTATTTTGTAACGTGATATAACAATTTTTAGTGGTGTCTCGGAGTCACCAGACAGGAAAAATGAATACATCGAATGTGAGACAGTAAAACGTCAAAAGAATTCAAGGATACTGTTGAATTACTTTTCACTCGGTAAATTAATTAAGAAAGAAAGTAAATGTTTATCGAGCTCCTATACCTTGCAATCAATCCGCAGTCTAGTTATAGTTAATGTCTGAATTAAGAAATTTAAAACAGACTTAAGAAAAGGAATAATAGTTATACTGAACGTGTTAGTCAACAAATCAAGCTCGTTAAAATAGGGCAGGGGGTTAATAATTAATCTTAATCGTTGCGACCGATGTGAATCGGCTTTTCAAATTTTTCAATCGCCAATGTATAAGATCCAAATTCAAATGTGTCTGTATAAAGTAGAAATTGTAAACTACTAACTATTAACTAGTAAAAATTGAAAACTATTTTGTTGAAGGTGTCACGCGTGTTCGAAAGCATTTAGTCAAGCGGCGAACCTAACAGCTCACGCGAGAACTCATTCCGGAGAAAAACCATTCCGTTGTCCGGTGTGTGACCGAAGATTTTCTCAAAGCAGTTCCGTGACTACGCATATGAGAACGCATTCAGGAGAGCGTCCGTACAGGTAATTTATTACTTATCTCATTGCAAAACTGAAACCGTTTTAATAATCATTGCTGAAATCATTCCTGCCCTTTGGCTACGGTATAGAAATGTTCCGGAGTTATTGTTGCAAACATAGTGAAACTTGGGTACTTGTTACATTTGAGCCGTTTATTTTGAAAGTGGCATAAGTCACTTTTTTCTTTTTTTTTTTTAATGAAAAGATACCGTTCAATTGTAATTAGTGTTACCATTAACTCGATTTTTTTGAAAAAGCGACTTATGCCACTTTCAAAATAAACGGCTCATTTATAAATGATTTTTGTCGTATAGAGAATATGTGTGCTGAAAATAGCATGAAATCTGGCAATGTGAAGGTTAAGCAAATATTTTGAGGGTTCAGAAATGTTCTGAAGAATCTCTGCGTCTATAACACGCAATAAAAGTTTATTTATTATTGCAAATATAGAGGGCAGATGATCTTAAAATTTTAAAAACAAATCGTCCCTCAACTTATGAACAAAAACGGACAATTTGGAAACAGGTGATTATAGTGAACATTTGGAGCGTTTTGCCAATACAATAAATTCTCTCCATTTGTCCTTCAGCTTGTAAACAAAAATAGATAATTTGGGGAGAGAAGTACGATTATATTCGAGCCTCGTGGCTCGTCGTTTTTATAGTTGTTGACAATCGGCGGCTACAAAAACAGAAATATCGGCTTAAAAACTAGAATAATCGTACTTCTCTTCCCAAATTATCTATTTTTGTTTACAAGCTGAAGGACAAAACGGGGAGAATTGTATTGACAAAACGCTCTAAATATTCCACTATAATCATCTACAGATGTTAATAATAGGGGCGCCACTCTGTTAAACCCATGAAAATCTCAAAATAGCATAATTAGTCATAGTGGCAAATCGCTGAAACTGTTCGCCGTGTTATTCACAGATGATAATTCTAAAGATCCACCATTCTGACATAGACTGCGCCACCACGATGTTCCACACGAATCTGAGAACAGCGCCATCGGATGTAACGGAGAAACACTGAAACTACTCAACAAATTACCAACAGTGAATTTTGGATAACAGTTTGAGCATTTTGCCACTGCATGCTTTGGAGCTGTACGGATCCCTGAACTGAGCTTCCAAATTTCGCCACAAGATGCGCCATTTTAAATTACGCAGTTAATTCGAGCTAAATTTTAAACTGTATCGTAGAACAAAAGTAACGGGCGTCATCTTTTCTCTATTCTCTGATACTAAATGATCTTTTTCCGACATGATACTATTGCAAAAAAGTCTCCTGGATATTTCTGTACTCTCAGAATATTTGTTGACCCCTAAATTGACAGATTTCATGCTACTTTCCACAAATGTATTCTCCTTATGTCTAATTCAACAAGAATCACCAGTAACAAATATTCAATTTTCTTTATATTGGATGTAAAAGAAATTCCTTTGGACATTTGTGTGTCCTCAAATTATTCTTTCAACTCCTAAATCACCATATTTTAATCGAATGTCTAAGAAGAAAATAGATATCCAATTATCCAGCATATTTGAGTTCTCGACAATATCTCGATTCCGAGAATGCCGGATAATCAAAATTCTGCTCCATAGATCTAATTTGAACTAAAACTTTATCGACAATAAATTTCAAAATCAATACTGAACGAATACAAATAATATTAACTAGTGAAAAATATCGCAAAAAAATTGCGCTAACATTGAAATATTTAAAACCCCCTTTGTTTTTTGTAAAGATACCTCGAAATCAGCGTTTACCCCATGGACTAGAACATTTGTAACTGTAGAAAACAATTCATTAACACTTTATCAACCGTAAATTGAATATTTCCAACGACTCGATTGTATGAAAGTAAATGCAATCTTCAGCTAACGAGACAAAACTTTAGAAAGAGATACGAGATGGTTGTAAATTCGGTAAACACTGTCCCAAAGACAGTAAAAAGCCTCTGCGCGCTCGTTAACACTTCAAATACCTAATTATTGATCATAATTAATGCCGCGGACTCCTTTATGTAGAACAAAAAATTCTTTAAAACATCTTTAAGAGAATTTGACGCTATGGAAATGGATTTATGGGACATTACGAAGTCTCATCGGGTTCCAAATTCTTTAACTTTGATTTATAAGTAATTAACGGTAGATGAAGTGTTAAGTGCGCCGTTCTCATAGTTGGATTTCCATTTCAATCGAGAACTCGCTGCTGTTTCCAGGTGTAGGTTCTGCAAGAAGGCGTTCTCGGACAGCTCGACGTTAACGAAGCACCTCCGCATTCACTCCGGGGAAAAACCGTACCAGTGCAAGCTGTGCCTGCTGAGGTTCAGCCAAAGCGGCAATCTGAACAGGCACATGCGAGTCCACGGGGGCTCCCTAACGTGACACAGCTCGCTCTCGATCATTGACGACAATCGAATATTGCCACGGTGTTGTCGGATACCTGTGATTCAACTTGGCCCGAGCTTACCGGAACGAATGTAAAGTAAAAGAGAAACCAAGTAAACGAAAAACTGCGACAGTCGATGCTCGTAGGGGGTTGTTGTCCGTCGTCACCTGACTGATCTCTCGAAACACGAAACAAAAAGGACGTTCTCGGGCGCGAACAAGCGCTTCTGTTATTTAAGGGCTTACATTTGAATATTTTTTTAAACCGATATATAAAACCATTGACGATGATAATAATAATAATAATGATGATAATAGTAATAATAATAATAATAATAATAATGATGATAATGCTAATGATAATAATAATAATAATAATAATAATCGCATTACGTGCTGTATTCGTAGTGGAAACTCGTTGTACTCGTCTCTTCGGAAAGAAAAAAAATAAACGATGCGAAACGTGTCAACACAGATCGTTCCTACTTGTATGTCAAAGGAATCGTGGTGTGAACATTCGTGTTTTTTTTTTCCTCCGGACTGTCGGTTTTTATTCGCTAGCGAAAACGATATTTCGGGCACAGGTCAGGATGGGTGAACAGGGAATCGCAGTTTTAGTCCTACAGCATCTACCACAGCACCGTTGATTATTGTACAAATATTGTATTTATTATAATTATTAATTATAATATTAATGTTGCTGTTTTTACCACCTTCAATTTTTCATTATGTGGCATTTCTTTGTCAGGTTACTTCTTTTCTCTCTCTTTTTTTTTTCCTTTTTCTTTGTAATTGTAAAATGAAGGTGTTTTGGCGCCATTTTCATTAAAAAAAACGATTCTCTCTCTCTCTCTTTCTCTCTCTATATATATAAATATATATATAGAATATACACTATATATTCTATATATATGTAATATATAATATATATAATATTCGTATGAGAACAACTGATTAAAAAACAGATGAATGAATATGTGTGAGTTTTCTTTTCTTTCACTTTATCTTTTTGTTTGTTTGTTTGTTTGTTTGTTGTAGTGTTGTTGTAATTCCCACAGCATCAGGACCCACGTGTGTTTACTTTGTTTTTTTTTTAAATTCTTGTGGGAGGAGGGGGTGAGGAAAAGGAGGCTGTTATGCTCGCCGGCTAGGTGGTAATTAAGTGGATAGATATTGGTTCATCACGAATCCTCACATTAATTTTGCCTCTTTTTCACAATTAAAACTATATAAGAACAACTCTGTCTTCTTCTCCGTTTAGAGTAGCATGTATCTCTCGTCTTCACTCGTCTCAAAATTCTCTCACTCGCTCTCTTTCTCTCGTTTTCATCTCTTTATATATATAATGATGTATTTATAAGTAATAATATTCTTGAAAAAAAAAGAAGAAGTATGTATAATGTTCCTACGTTATGTACTGGTACGACTGTGTGCGAGGACGAGCTGGTCCGACCGACTTCCGAACGCAAAGATAGTCGGTCCTCTACAAGAAAAAGCATAGTGGGCTTTCGGGGACCACCTCGTCGAGCGACAGACGTTCCTCTAGTATTTCGTGTACGTAGCGTATTCTATTTAAAAATGTATAATGTCATCTCTGTCATGCTGTATGTGTCTGTGATGCTTTATGTATGTATTTTTTTTTATCCATTTTTCTTCGTTCTCTCCCACTCTCGTTCACGCGCTCTCTCTCTCTCTCTCTCTCTCTCTCTCTCTCTCGCATTCTTTCATTCTTTCTCGCACTCATTTTCTCACACCCTCGTTCCTACATATCGCCTCAACCCTATCTCTCTTTCGCATTTTTATTCGATCAACTTGCTTGGCTGTTGGTGATCTGATATCTCTACTACATCAGTTGGAATGGTTTCTTTTCTTATCATTCTTTTTTTTCAATTATTAATCGATTTTCATCTCGTTCACATTTGAAAGCTTCGAAGCAAAAAGCTCGTGTTAAGGTGTACATCCCCAAGGAGGCATCGATGAATACCAAACAATTTCAGTCTATTATTTGTTTTTTTTAGTACTTTCCACTTCCGAAACAAGTAACAAAGAAAAACTTACTCCCGTAATCTCGTTATTTTCATTTAGCTTTGTTTTCACTTTAACCGGCGTTATCAGCCACTGAGAATAGAAAATTAATTGTCTATACATATTATCACTCCTCTGGCCCTTTCATTCTCTCTCTCTCGCACATTCGCAATTCATGTTCTCCTGCAATCAAAACAACACGAGTACAAAAAATTCAGCTCGAAACGCTTCGAGACCGCCGATCAATTTCGGAATAGTTATATAATTCGATTAATAAAAAGAAAAAAAGAAACGAAAAATCAACGACGATCGCGCTGTGTTTCGGTAACCTGTGACTATTCAAATGAAATTATACAATATAAAAAAAAAAGCAAAGAGAACCGAATAGATATGTGTATAGGTGTGTCTGTGTGTGTGTCGTCTCTCGCTCCCACTCTCCCTAAAATAGAACTTTCATACTCACTCTCTCTCTCTCTCTCTCTCTTTTTATTTACTTATTATCATCGTCGTCGTATTTCAATAATTTTTTCTCAAAAAAGTTTCCATTTTCTTTACTTTTTCTTTTTTTAATGATTTATCTTTCGATAATATATTCAAGTGTTCGTAACATCGCATTATTTTACTTAATACAATAATTAATCATATTATAATTATCAATTAATAAAACTTGTTTCTGTTCGTTCTACCTTACGCGCGTGTAATCTTTCTTTCTCTCTCTCTCTCTCTCTCTCGCTCGCTCTCTTTCTCTCTTACTCTTCCGTACACAATCTCACTCGCTTAAAGACTGCTATAACCGATAGGTATATATATATATATTTTTCCATTGAAAAACAATAAGCGGCTTTCGACTTCTGTCCCAGGTTGAAAACACAAAAGAAAATACCTATTACATTAGGTTACCTACTAATTTACGATGAATTTAAATCACTGATGAAGATGCTGCATTCGTTCACGTCGAGGCATTCGCCGAATGTTTCATACTCGGTAGAAGTACAAAAATAGATGCCACAACATCGAAGATGACGTAAAATTCCTGCAGCTTTATTACAAAGCGCGATAGGTCCGATCGATACCGACGCGTGTACCCGAAAACGAGCAAAGTTTCCCGAGAAAAGAAGGCAGAGAAATGGTCTCAATGTGGAAACGGCGTCGTCTGCATCAAGTCGTCCATGTCAGAAATATATCTTTTATCCATTATCACTCTTGACACATATAAAAAAATAGCATTTAATGTAAAAGACTATATTTCTGTAACTGAAACTGTGTCTCGTCTAAAGCACGCAAAGAGTCGGAACAGACCTTTCTTTTTTCTTTTTTTTTTTGCGACAACTAAAATCGTTTTCGTTTAAATCACACGTTTGCCGAAAATAGTTTTCCTTCGTTTTCAAGGTCACCGTAGCTGTTCCACAAGGTAATGCCAGGTCATTTCATTGATCTATTAGGATTCGAAGACGAAATATCCACCCACGAATCCACACAGGAATACAATGAAAAATGCATCCAACTGCGTTGATATCGATCATCCCGAAAAATCACCGCAAAGAAGATGTTCGATCATTTGTGATGATCTACTGAGTACTGCCAACGCATGCGAATGCCCCAACGATTACATACTTTTCTTTCTCTCTTCCTTCTCTCGCAATTGCCCTGTCTACTTTTGTCCAACTCTCACCGCAAAAAAGACAACATTAATTCTACCGGCAATCTCTTACTTTCTGCTTTCCACTGTCACGATTCCATCATGATGTATATACACGCAGCATTTTCATGATCTGGAGTAAAACATAAAAATGTATTTGTAAGCAACTACATTTCAGTTTTTCGTATTTGTTATTGTTTTTGTCTGTTTGTCTGTGTTCTCTTCCTCTTCTTCAATGTAATATACTAACACTGAGAGTTACAACGTCCACGAAAGAAACAAAGTTTGTCAACGTTTACTGAAGAGTTGCCAAATCATCTCAATATATATATGCTCTCGGGAGTATGGTTCTTTTTTAGAAACGAAAACTAAAATAGCATGCGCGAAATCCAAATACAGTGTGGCAAAATAATGTATGACTCGCTAAAAACATGTTCGGTATCCATGTTTCGAAACGAAAGTTCTAGACGAATTTAAAAACGTGATGTACATATATACATATACATGTTTATATCGAAAAAGAAAACATCCTTATATTCATTTTCATTCTTACTTTCCGTCGCGTGTTGTCTGTATGGAGTACTAAAACCTATCGTTACAACAAGATTGGAAGTGGGGGGAGGGGCCGAAGGGGGGTCGGTATACGAGTACAAAATACAAATTCGAAAATATTCCCGGACGCTCTCCTCCGAAAAAAAAGAGGTACCCACACGGATCGCCTGAATTTGCTTCAACATGTTTCTCCTCTCCGCTATGTGCCAGACGTTGCGATATACTACAATTCACATTCAGCCCATGTTCGATTTGTACTCTATGACTAGCCAATATATTCTTCGTGCTGCGGGTGTTGGGAGGAAGAACTGATCATGGGGTTCTATAATTCGAGAAAGTGAAATTAATTCGTTGAACGGAGAAAAGCTAGGCTGGATAAAACACAATTGATTTGAAAAACAAAAATAGAAAGAAACAAAGACAGTAATTTTCGTTTTCTCGTTTGGTCTAGAGTCACACGCGCTGCGATTGATTAAATACTATACGTAATTTATACAAAATTACGACACAGAGAAATTCTTATCCATCGTTTGTTTTGTCATTTCCTCCATAGCCACGGCATCGTGTTATATATATAATATATATATAAGCCGTCATCATTACTGCCCAACTGTATTTGGTTTGGTCACAATGTTACATCAAATGCACTATTCCAGGAGCCCACCAAACGCAGACTCAAGCTCAACTTCCATTCGCGCAGCACACACACACACGGGGCATGCACGCAGAATACTGACGCACGCGATTTGTGTGTTTGCACGCAGCACGCACGCAGCAAAATGCATGTAAGCCTTTCTCTCCCTCGCAATCTCTCGTTTCCACTTGCATTCGGTTCCTATACTCTCTCTTTCTCTCTCTCTCACACACGCACACACACACTCTTCCTCTCTCTCTCAGACTCTCCCCCTCTCTCACTCTCTAACTCTCCCTCCCTCCCACTCTCTCTCTCGCTCTCTCTCTCTCTCTCTCTCTCGCTCTCTCTCTCTCTCTCTCTCTCCGCCTACCCCCCGTTTATCTCTTTCACTCTATCTCAAAGGATGGATCCCTTCGAGTTCCTTCGGAAGCAGCGGACATATTTTTTGGGGCACATCGTGCACGACACACGTTAGTCAATCGGCCATTTGTCGTCGGAGGTCGTGTGTGAATGGCTAAGGGAAATTAGATCGGAGGGTGGTGCTGGAGTGGACGTCGGGGGTTCAAGGTCAACGAGGGCTCGGTGCAGGTGGGCTTGGCCGGGGGTCAGGCTCGCTCACTATGCTGTGTGGTATACCGGTTAATCCAGCAGTAGGAGGAGCTGAAGCAGGGCCTCCAGCCCCACCGCCACCTACCGTTGGACCCGTAGGGCCTGTCGGACCCCCGGCGCCTGCACCGCCTGCAGAGGAGTTCGGTCCGCCACCACCCCCACCACCACCGCCGCCGACGACGGAATGCCCACCAGGAGGTGGGGGTGCAGAATCGTGAGGAGTCGTTGAATGCGCCTGTTGAACGGGCAGCCCCCCGGAATAGTATCCGCCGTTGATCCCCTCAGGGTAGCTGCTGGAGAAAGCGAAAAGAAATTGGCCACTTCGATAAATGCCTTTTACAAAGTGCCCAATCGATCTTAGGAAATCCAAAGGTTCGAACGCTTCTAACCACGTTACTTTACACACTCGATTCTCTTTCCATGTAATACGAGTTAACATCTGCTTGAAAATCTGTTTCTGTAAAAATTACGATATCTTTTTCCCCGGTGTAAGAGAAACAAATGCAACGATACTCAAAAGTTATACCCTACGTTTGTTTGTTTAATCAAGCTCAACAATATGTATATATACAATATATATATTGTCTATGTATACCGCTAGCCGATCAAATCGATTCAGGGCCCTTCCTTGTCTTTTAACTTTTCTCTTCACAATATAGTTTACATTAATGTGGATATCATAATACAATTCAGTGAAAGAATTATTACTTGAATTAACAATGAATCCCCCTCCTAGAGACAAGGTGATAATCATTCACTTTAATCGCCGATGGTTAGTCCCACAACCCCTACAGCAGTCCCAGTTACAAAATTTATGTAATTGATTGCAAGAGCCATGAATGAATTTGTACACCTAACGTATATACAATATATGTATATATAGTTAATGTGTATATACATATATGCTGCTGTGTATATATATATACATACATATACATATATACATGTACATAGCATCTTTTAAAGTGAATGATGCTTACCCAGTTGAGGAAAGGAAGTATTCCTTGTTCACACAGTTTCGCAAGCAGTCAGGTATGCGACCGATGATAGCTCTTCGTATCTCACTGGCTGCCATCTCACGAAGTTCGGTGCAACTTGCATCACTGTAGAATGCGGCATGTGGTGTGCANCGCCTACCCCCCGTTTATCTCTTTCACTCTATCTCAAAGGATGGATCCCTTCGAGTTCCTTCGGAAGCAGCGGACATATTTTTTGGGGCACATCGTGCACGACACACGTTAGTCAATCGGCCATTTGTCGTCGGAGGTCGTGTGTGAATGGCTAAGGGAAATTAGATCGGAGGGTGGTGCTGGAGTGGACGTCGGGGGTTCAAGGTCAACGAGGGCTCGGTGCAGGTGGGCTTGGCCGGGGGTCAGGCTCGCTCACTATGCTGTGTGGTATACCGGTTAATCCAGCAGTAGGAGGAGCTGAAGCAGGGCCTCCAGCCCCACCGCCACCTACCGTTGGACCCGTAGGGCCTGTCGGACCCCCGGCGCCTGCACCGCCTGCAGAGGAGTTCGGTCCGCCACCACCCCCACCACCACCGCCGCCGACGACGGAATGCCCACCAGGAGGTGGGGGTGCAGAATCGTGAGGAGTCGTTGAATGCGCCTGTTGAACGGGCAGCCCCCCGGAATAGTATCCGCCGTTGATCCCCTCAGGGTAGCTGCTGGAGAAAGCGAAAAGAAATTGGCCACTTCGATAAATGCCTTTTACAAAGTGCCCAATCGATCTTAGGAAATCCAAAGGTTCGAACGCTTCTAACCACGTTACTTTACACACTCGATTCTCTTTCCATGTAATACGAGTTAACATCTGCTTGAAAATCTGTTTCTGTAAAAATTACGATATCTTTTTCCCCGGTGTAAGAGAAACAAATGCAACGATACTCAAAAGTTATACCCTACGTTTGTTTGTTTAATCAAGCTCAACAATATGTATATATACAATATATATATTGTCTATGTATACCGCTAGCCGATCAAATCGATTCAGGGCCCTTCCTTGTCTTTTAACTTTTCTCTTCACAATATAGTTTACATTAATGTGGATATCATAATACAATTCAGTGAAAGAATTATTACTTGAATTAACAATGAATCCCCCTCCTAGAGACAAGGTGATAATCATTCACTTTAATCGCCGATGGTTAGTCCCACAACCCCTACAGCAGTCCCAGTTACAAAATTTATGTAATTGATTGCAAGAGCCATGAATGAATTTGTACACCTAACGTATATACAATATATGTATATATAGTTAATGTGTATATACATATATGCTGCTGTGTATATATATATACATACATATACATATATACATGTACATAGCATCTTTTAAAGTGAATGATGCTTACCCAGTTGAGGAAAGGAAGTATTCCTTGTTCACACAGTTTCGCAAGCAGTCAGGTATGCGACCGATGATAGCTCTTCGTATCTCACTGGCTGCCATCTCACGAAGTTCGGTGCAACTTGCATCACTGTAGAATGCGGCATGTGGTGTGCATAACAGATTGGGTGCATCTTTCAAAGGACCTATGGTACAGACAAATTGGACCGGTTACTTTAAACGTCGATGTATAAGTAAGATCCGATCCTTTTTGACGCGCTCTGCGCATACTAAACGAGTTCGATCGCGGTACAAAGACAAGCATGTCATGTGCAACATTTGCGTAAGGCGAATGATTCATAAATTCATCAATGAGCTCATTAATATTGAATAGCATGCTTCGTTAATGGATCATAACGAAAATGTGGTCGTGACAATATTTTAATAGATTGCGTGTGTCAGTTATAATATACAACATTGTTAACCCAGATGTGTTTTCAAATAAGATATTCATTCGAAGCAATGTTGAGAAAGGAGGATCGTGTATGTTAATAGCAATTGTCAAATATACAGCTATTTCTTGAAAAAAAAACGAGAACGTGACTGGATTAAAAAATATTACATAACCATGATAGTATAAAAAAAAATAAAAGTACGATTAAGCGAAGAAAGATCCGAGAACGTAACAGATTTGAGTAATTACATTTCCTAATCCCTTAATAGTTATAATAAAAATCTGAGAAATTCAATGAACGTTAGGACTATCGATCATTACAAATGATTGTATTACTTTTCAAAAATATATTAATCATTTTTTAATAATCTGTTGATATTTTATTAATCTACCGGTAATATTTTTTGATGTCACTTACAATCGTTTCTCTAAAAGCCATGCCACAGTACCTCTAATGTGTGTACCCGATATATTACCCGACAGCAAAGGACCAGGATGGAGAAGGGAAACATTAGTCAACTTGAGAGGGGGTTAGGTATGGACAGATAAAACTCACACTGTGAAGACTGACCCTGAAAGACGTTGTATGGCTCATTTTCGTGTACATCAAGTGCTGCTGCACGAATTCTGCCCTGTTTCAGCGCTGCGGCTAAAGCGTCATCGTCTACCAGACCACCCCTTGCTGTATTGACTAAAAAGGCGCCAGGTCTCATCTAAAAAAAAAAAATTACAACAGAAGTTAATATCACAAATATCGCTCCATATGTCATGATTTAAAAAATAATTAATAAAAATTTGTTTATTAATAACTAAAATATGAATTTACTGTAATTAGTTTGTAATACCTGTTTGATAGTGAATTCATTAATTAAATGATGGTTGTGCTCATTCAAGGTACAATGCAAGGATACACAGTCCGACTGAAATAGCAAATCCTGCAAAAACACAATAATCTATTAACTAAATTTGCACGTTGTATATGAGTATTTGTTGCTATTGTTTATGCAAGTAATTAACATCGAACCTGTAATGTGTAGACCCTGTTAAGACCGAGCGACTTTTCAATTCCATCTGGTAGATAGGGATCATAGAAGATGACAGTGAAGCCAAATGCTTTGGCACGAAGTGCAACTGCAGAGCCAATCCTACCTAACCCAACTATTCCAAGTGTGTCACCCCGTATCCTTGCACATCCTGTTGCAGCTTCCCTGACCTGAAACAAGATACGAAATTTAATTAACTAAAGATAGAATATTAAAAAAAATTTAAGAAAACTATCTAATGTGAAATTCTTACCTGTTCTGGGCCTGTGAATTTTTTTCCTTCGCGTACCATATTTGCCAACCAATATGTACGCCGATATAAATTTAGAATAAGACAAAGGGTGGTGTCAGCTACTTCTTCAACGCCATAGCCAGGCACATTGCACACAGCGATGCCAAGCTCTCCTGCTGCTTTGACATCTATGTTATCTACCCCAGATCCAATTCTTACAATGATCCGTAATGTTTTGAATTTTTCAAGATCTTCTTTCGTCAAAATTATGGTGTGCCACATTAATGCACCTACTGCTTCATTTAGTACCTACAAATTAAATGATATCTTTCTTTAACAGGCATCGCAAACAAGCTTTAATCCATTTAAACAAAAACAAAGAATTGAATGGCACAAATTAAAAATTATTTTCTGTACCTTTTCGTGAATTTCTGATGTCGACTGTGCATCACAGAAGGCCACAGTTGCAACATCTTTAAGGATAGGCATTTCGATAGAACAGTCTCGGCCATCTAACAAAGCCACCAACGGTCGTGTCTGAATGGGTCCATTTGCAATAGGACCCCTCAGGTTATCCATTCGAGGGCGTTTGGGCATCATCTTCCGTTTGTCCATCGGTCAAACAGCCCCCCCAATTTTTAAATTTTTCACTTGTACTCTGTGTCACTAAAAATATTTGTTTTCTTCCAAGGAAGTCCTATTGTCCACTAGTAAGGAAGCCTCTTCGTACGTCTTGATGTACAATTTTGCACTTTTATGTTTTGTCACACAAATTGCCTTTGTAACACAGACTTCTGGTCGGTTTTTGAATAAGGACCGCCGAACCTCCAACACATCACGACTTGTTGAACACCGTCTCCTGAAACCATTGAATAACAATATTTAGTATACACATTAATAAACAATTACCTCATTATATCAAAACCATTTAAATGATTAAACTCATTAAATAATTATAACAAAATGTTTATTTAATAATTTAGTTATCAAAATCAACCATGTACTAAAATCGTAAACAAAACGTATTTTGTAATTAATCCAAACAAACTTAACTAAAACGGCGTTCTGGAGTTCAACAAATAATTGGAGCATTACCAAAAAGAAAAGGATCAAAAGGTTCGCGAAACTTTCTCGTGGATTTTCACTGTTGCTAAAACTTTATAACACAAAGAAAGCAAAATGCAAAAACTACGGACTTCGGATAATAAACATACATTTCGACGCCTTCATGAATTTCATGTTAGAGAATAGCATAATATACGAGGCGTTATCACTATTATTTCACATGTAAGCATAATATTCTGTATTGAATAATTCAGCGAGCTCCGAAGAAAGGCCGATGTTCAATTAAACCGAACATTTTGCGACACGAAAAGCGAAACACCTAACAGCGTGTACAGAACGGAACGTTTTAGGTTACCTTGAAACGCGCCGGCTTAACCTGCGCACTGCGTTGTGTTCAGTACAGTGAGAGAAACGCACGGGAATTGTAGGAAAACCGAGAAACACAATGTCTGTGTTTTCCCGAATGAAAATACGAACGAACTTCCAGCACTTCGATGCTAAACAGAGGAAAAACGAATCGCACAGATCACACCGTACATTGAGAATGGAATTACTAGCTGGGGCAAATGTTTTCGGAACTGTTAATAGAGAGCCTGGCGTTGGTTAGTGGGTCGACATTTTCAGCCCATTTTCGGCAGCAATTGTAAACCAATCATAGTGCGTTCGTACGACAAATACCCCAACCAATTGCCCGACAAATCCATGAATACGCGTTTATTGAGATTTCGTCTACGCCGAAGCGTTTACTACACAGGCAACTATACGAAAACAGAAAAATATGCTGGATCGGAGTCGATTTAGTGCCCGGTGCTTTTATATGGCGGAACGGAAAAATGCTGAACCAGCGAAGTTCCATAAGAAAGTAGAGAAACTGACACGTGGCGCCCTCGTCAGACGCCGTCACCACGCAATACTTAACCAAGATCATAAAAAATAAATCAAATTTACAAGGAGACTACCGAACGGATTGTCTCCACGATCGGAGCGATCGCGAATAACACGCTCGTTGCTTAACTATGCGAAATATTTATTCGACTCGGTGCAACCACGAAAGCGTTTCTTCTGAATCATAACAAACGAAAATTACTGTTCATTTCATCCTTGTCATCCTTAATCATCATGCTTATACAACTTTTGTTTCATTTATTTAATGTAGATTTATACGGTTTGTTAACTTTTATACATATTTTAAAATACTATATGAATACTGTTGTAAATTCATTTCATTTAAGTGATATAAAAATTGCTGTACTTGTTATATTCGGGTCATTGTGACGCGTATCTTAGATTATAACAAACTTGCTTTAGACGTTTTAGAACAACTCGTAACAAATTGTACATTTATCATTTCAAGTGAAATTAATCTAATTTGGAAAGCAGAAAAATGATACGTAAAGAATTATTTTTTAAAATTAGTTTTTGATAGAATTATGGACTCGACTTATAAAACTTTTGAATCGAAACAAGACAATCAACATTTTACAATCAATACAAATAGTAAAGGCATCAATACAGATACGGATACTATTACATTAGATTTCCAACTTTTTACTGTATTTTCATACAGCAAGCTTACACACACATATAATACAGCAAAATTCTGAAAAATATCTTGAAGTTCATTTAATCGTGTCTAACGGCCCGAACATAGTGTACTTCAGACAGATAAATTGTATCCGGTAAGAAACTCGTATCCGCGAACGTCCTTTTCCGTGAATCGGAAAAAACTCTTTGCCATTCGTCTGCGAGTGTATTGAAATTTTGTTTGGCCAGTGTACGTTCTCAGAGATTTCGTCAACAGGCCCGTCGGGCATGGCCCACCGAAGCAGGGCATTCCATGTGATTGGGTTAATACGGGATAAATGATACACATTAAGATTCGTTTACGCACGGCCGTGACGGGAAAGACGAGCAAAGAGGAATGTTTGATCTGCCGGTCAATAGACACAAGTAATCGGAAACACAGAGGCCCGCGTAGAAGGCTACAAAATGAGATCGGTGCTGGTCTCAGCGAAAGCGAGGATGCGATACTAACGCGGAGTGCAAACCCAAGCACTTTGACTTGGGCACATGTTGTGCCAACTCAGCGAAAATGTAAGCTCATATCATCAAAAGGAGGAGAGGCAAGGAGGCGAGATTAAGCCCTTGTTCGACAGCTGGCAGCGTATATCATACGTAATACACGGTTAGTAGCAGGGAGAGCAATGTGTCGAGGAAGTGCACTCAGAAAGAGACTCGTAACACTGTATGTATTTACCGTACGGTCGTGCATAGTTAACTATACTTCCAACGGGGGGTATACTTCCATATCAATTATAATCCCAATGTGTAGAAATTTCGCGCGTGAAAGTCTAGCTTTCCTGCGGGGGCTGTAAAGAAAGTTTGAATTATTCGAACGGTTCAAACTAGTTCGGATCGAAACTTATTGTTCGAGTAGTTCGAGAAGTTCAAAACTACAGAGTAGTGCCTCGTTTAACGAAGAGGACGAGCTCCAAGAAACTGCTCGTTATGAGCAACCTTGCTGTCGGAGGCAAAAATAACATTGATCAGAGCCGAGATTTGTTAAGGGGATTACGGGCATACATTTAAGTAACACGGATAAATTATTCGGAAACATTTCGATCGATCCCTGTGTGTGGTTGTTCAGAGTTTTCTATATCTTTTCATTTGGTAGGTGTGTATATGGGTTAATATCACTTACTGCTTCTCTGGAAATCTGGGTCATTTTCACTTGTAACGTCTAGATCACGAGTCGCTTGATTCACAATTGAAAATCGTATTTTAAACTCGAACAGAGACGTGCCACATATTTGTAAATAATCAAACAGCGTTGTCAAGAACTATTCAGCCATTTTTGGCTGATCGGTTTACTTGAACTTTCCACGATCTTTTTTAACAAATTCATCGACTGACATAGTTACCGGAAAACTGAGATTTGAAAAGTTGGTGGCAAGAATTTGACAACACTGTTGTGCACCCTTAGGCTTGCAGAAAATGCTTTTGAAAAAAATCCAAACAAATCAAAATTGGTAGACCGCTTACAAGTTTGGAGAGCCATTGTTTTCGGACGCGTCGGTGAGTGTATGAGAAGCCATCAAGACGTTTTCGAACCAGTTAAAAATTCATCGAGCTTTTAAAACGGACGTTCCGGCTAAGCGGTCGAATTCAACCCTTCAGCTTAATCTCGGTGTGCAACAGAGTTTTTCGAGTTACAGATACAGCTACGACGGTTGGCGAAGGAAAGGGGGAAGGAAGGAAGGGCGACAGAACGCGGAGGGTGGGGCGTTGAAGCTGCCGTTGGGACGGGGAGCTATGAGGGCGAAGTTATCCAATTATTGTCTAACCTGGGAGCAACTTTACTTGGCGGAGAACCGTTGGTGGGAGGGAGGGAAGCTCGTCCTGCCGGCTTCCTCTCCCTTCCTACAATCGAGCCACGATAAAGTAAAGTTTGTTTCAAAACTTGCAGAGAGGTGACTAGGTTTTTGTTAGTGACACGTGAAATTCAAACGACTTCGCTTGCGATAATAATCGCGGCGAGCCTTCCTCTGTTCTTTTTTTCTTCTTTTATCAAGAGGAACGGAGGAGGGGAAGAGGCGACGACAGGGTGGGGGAGGTATTCAGTCTCAAGAAAGACGACGCTGATTAAGTTAGAGGTTCGTTAATAAAACGCTTCTGGAACTTTTTCAATGTGAACGTTTCAAGGAAACTGTAACCATTCTCTTACTACGTGATAGACTGAAGAAATGCTATTAAAAGTTCCACGCGTCGATTTGTTTGACAACTCTCACTCAAATGATATTATCTCGTGCTGTGGGAAAGGGATTTTCGACCTTGTATGTATGTATTTGTTTTCCCCCGTGTGCGATGTACAAGAAAATGACATACTATTTTGTAATATTTTGATTCAAACAGTGGATGATTTTGTTATTTCAATTTTTAATCCTTTCAGTATAATCTTTAGATATGATCCAATTCTCCGAGGATAATATATGTAATGTTTTAAAAAATTGTTGTGTATAAACGAGCAAAGTAGAAGATGATCTGCGACTTATTTATCTTTGTGCGTAGGAACATCCATACATAAATAGAGCTATTATCATTCAATTAGACGCGACACTACATTTAGAACACGGCGGGGACATTATCACCATATCAAAAGCAGTTGGTATTTCGAGCAGCAAAACGCACGTTCTTGCAAGAACGTAACGACAATATCGAGCAAACCAAGCAAAAACAAAAGAAAAGTGTCCTTTATCAGAAATAAAACAGAGATCCTTAAAAGAAAGACGGTCACGACATAAAATGGTTTCTTTTTTCAAGGCCATTTGTTTTTTTGAATTCGCAGGAGGACAAATTAGGTGTTTAGTATATTCAAATTGGGCTCACGTGCGTCCATCGAAGGTGATGACGAGGACGAAACTTTACTCGTGCTGCGGTGTACGCAAATTCTGCAGTGTGCATTATTTTCTCGTATAAAAAATTATCTTTCTGTACATCTTATTTTTAATCGAGCGAATACATTTTAATTTCTAAAGAATGTTTCGATGTTTAAAAGGTTTTAATTCTTAAAAGATGTTTCAACATTTCAAACGATATCATAATTGTCGAAAAATATTTTAATTTGCCAAAGATATCGGCCCTTTCAAAAAACATCGCCGAGCCGCAAAAATGGGAAAAAATGTCACGCACGATACGTATCCGAGTAAAAACGAAAATATCGTGTTTCAAAAGTGGCGTCATGAATGACTGGTAACAGCGATATACCGGCCTGTTATCAACCATCACAAATCCGTTTAAAAATAGAAAGTGATCAATTAACGTTCGCAGGCACCGACTCAATAAAGAAAAACTGTCATCGACGTCCACGTGAAACGAAGGGTTAAAGGCTTCTCGAGAAACAATAATCTGTTAAAGAGTGCGTTAAAACAAAACGCCGGTACAAAGAAAGGGGGGGCAGAGAGGAGTTTGCTCTAAGTTGTTGAAAAACGGAAAGAAAGAAAAACGAATGTGGTAAGAGGAGAAGAAGAAACTCGTCCAATTATGATGACGAGTATCGGTGTCGGCGTTCGGGCATTCTCATCCTTGGCCACGATGGAATGGTCGGGAAAGGGGTAAGAGAGGGGCTGTTGCTCCGGTACCTTCCGCCTCCGCGTTCGTCTCTCCAGCGGGCAGCGAGCAAACGGCCATGGGTGCAAGAAGGGAGCCGGGAAGAGGGAGAGGAAAGGCGACTACTTAAAGTTGGCGGAAAGTTTGGTTCGGCAGCAAAGTTAACTCAGTTAAGTTCTCCGCTCCTAAAGCGAAACTTCGGTTCTCCAACGCCTGTGCCTGCCTGCCTCTGCCTCTGCCTGTGCTTGCCCTCCATCCTCTTCTCTCTTACCCTTCCCTTTTCCCTCCCTTTCTCTTTCTCCGTTCGTCCCGCGCGCTTCGCACAGTCTTGGCCACCCTACCGATTCCGTCGGTGCTACAGGAATAAGTAATGTGTTTTGGAATTAGCACTGTTCCGGGAGAGTTTTCACGCAGAACATCGATCGCCATTGATCGGCCGGGGTATCACTCTCGTTTTTGATTGTACCGCAGAGGTCGTATTCACGTGGGGACCCGAGCAAACTGCGTTTCCAAGTTCCTGCATTGAGAAGAGCCCCGCCGACGCGAGTGAAAGGAATTGAGAACGGGTCTTATCGGTTTGATTTTCGATTTGGTAAACGCGGCGCCGCGAACGAGGGTTGTAAGAATTTGTCAGTGCCGTTTGGAAGGTGGCTAAACGCGGAATTGCAGTGGGAAATCGAGACCGTGGCTTTTCGGGGAACGAGGCGAAGAATCGCGCGTAAAACCGCGAAAAAAGTAAAAGTGACTCCCCGGAAACGGCTAGGCAAGAGAGACCCCGTAAAGTTCAGCGAAACGCTCCAGGAAGAAGGATGTGTCCCCACTCTACACTGAACTCCTTCAGCCACTCCGGCACCGATCGAAATTCCGAGACAAAGTTTGCGAAATTCCGAGGAAAGCGCGTGGTCGTTTAACGTTTCGCGTGATGCCCCCTTCGCACATGCACGCGTGGAAGCTTGTAAGCATCGTTTTGTAACAGATACCAGTCGTCGTGGTCGAGTACTGTCCCTCCTTTGATGGCACGGCCGAGCAAAAAAAGAAACCGGTCCAGTTGGTACTTACGAGAGGAGGTTTATCTTTCGCGATTCGCCTATGTGGCTCAAAAAGAAGTTACGAGCGTTCTCTCGGCTTCAGAGGAAAAAGAAACTTCCTAGATGCCGTTTTGGAACAACAACTGGATCGAAAAAACGAATTGATCTTTATTCTCGCGTGTCCGAAGCCCAACGTGCCTCCCGCAACGATAATAAACAGCTTTAATATCGGAACAGATGCTTGAACCGTGAAATGTCAATTTTTTGGAGGACTATCAAAGTGCTGAGCACAATGGGCTTTTCTGTAAACATTCTCCAAAAATAGTTTCTCATAAAGCGTGATATATATGTATATATACTTCAGAACCGAACCAACAGGGAAATGAAGGACGAAGAAATGGAAGAGAAAGTAATATGATGTCGGACAAAGTATTCCTCAAACTCCGTGAATTCAGTCGGCCTTGAGAATGCGCCCGGCACTGCGAATGTCGATGCACATGCAACGCGCGCCTGCAACGTGGACTCCGGTATCCCTTCTCTGTTACGCACTGATCGATATAGGTGCACGCATTAATACCTCGGCGCTTTTACAGGGTGACACTTGATCAATTTGGCTCGCCCAGTGACTCATCACGATAGATAGACGGAGTGCTCAACTTTGCAAGCTAATTTCAACAATATTTGCGTAATCGTTTCGCACTGTATATTGTACACACATCAATGAGTCACACGTTAATAGCTGTACGTATTTGAAATTCGAACTTTTAATCTTTGTTTCACGTTTCATTGGAGGGAAGCCGGTATTTCCTCTCTATCGAGACACTGTATTATTCAGTGTAAAAGAAGTTAGGGAGTTCAGAGAACGAGAAAGCATTATACAGTATTTCTTGCGAAAATTGCGTTATTATAAAGACTGCAAATAATGTGAGATTTTCTGTAGCTTTTCTTCCAGCTTGCTTCTATCGTAGCATGGGAAACTTTTGTAAAATATTTTTCGACCCTCGTGGTACCCTAGTTATTTCAAAATGCTTGATGAATTTTGCAGAAACGAAATCTAATAACTTCAAAGTCAACTGTAGATGAGTAGTAGAGATATCAGGATGGGAAATTGCTGTCGTACAGTCCCCGTTGACATTGAAGTGTTGTGAAATTTAAAACCCTCGTTCCAGCTACTCAAGACGGTAGAGTCAGTGTTGGCAAACACAGAGAAAGAATAGAAAGGTGCTCTTGTTTGTTCGAGAGTTCTTTTTCGGCGTTCTGTCTGCGCACACGTGCCCTTCTTCACGCCTCACTTAATTTACGATTTCACTATCTCGGTGGTGGACCAAGCGAAGATCGTCCATTCGCATGACTTCACCGTTAGGTCAAGAAGGGCTCGATCGAGCACCATACAAAAAAAGAACAATACCAGTACGTTCAAGACATGTGCCAGCTCATGTCCCCTATTCATGGTAGGGAACGCGATGAATATACCCTTGTTAAGTTTCAAAGTTACACACACTCTACCGACTTTGCCAACCCCTCCTCTTTACGGTTCCCTATATCCTCTTCCGCTCTGAATCAGAATTTTCCACATAAACCGCCGACTAACTTTTCTTATTGTTTCCGCACCCGTACTGTACGTGCTTCATAGATTAAATCGCGCCTAACGGAACGAAGAGCGTTGCTTGTTCAATCTGCGACATGCCACTCAGATCTGCCAAAAATCATTTTTGTCAGAAAGTATGAGATTAATGGTCGCAAAGAAAACCTAGCTCCTTGAACGATTCCTAAATCTTTATCCGAATCAGAGGGAATACAGGTGCCATTAACCTTCATATGATAGGACCTACATCTATTTTGACTGAGAGTTACAATTGTTATAACTGAATATTTAACAGTTGAAATTATGAACTGTATTAATCACTATGTACAATAAGAAGATAGAGTGTTCCCAATTTATCCAAGTAGACGGCTTTCAACGATCCAAGCCTAGCATGTCGACTAAAGCGACTTAATCAGTGCAGTAAGATGACCAATACGGTTGTAAAAGTAACGTTAATCCATTAGTAATAGCTAATGAGCTACAACCCATTACCCACGGTGGTTTACAATGGGAACAAGTTCGTCTGTGTATCAGAGCACCAATTTATAACTTGCTTTGCGCCCGCCACGGTTCGCAGGAACGTCAAATGACCCGAGAACTTTATTGGCGCTGATAAAAATTCAGACATTCCGAAGCAAAAAATTTTCTGAAGTTTAGCGCCCTCTTCGAGCAACTTCCTGATGCAATTTTTTGGATTTTAATAAGCCGGGCTGAAAGTAACATCGGAAAACCATGGGTTAGCCGAACACCCCGTATAGACAGCTTCATATAGGACCGCAAAGTGTATACAAACGATTTTCTTCCTTTTCCACGCGCGCGCGTTTCTCGTGGAACAACGATGAGTGAACCTTGTACACTTGTTTCTCCTCGTACTCGTACACCTACGCTCTTGGTTGCTCGTTCGCTACGTAATACGTACGCGCGGAGGACAAAAAAAGTCGCTTCTCGCGTCTTCTCAGTCTCTCCTGGCCTCTTTCTCCTCTCTCTATATCTCCCTCTCTCGGTCTCTCTTGTTCCCTCTCGTTCCGGTCGTCTCCAACGGTCGCGTACGCTCGCTCGTCGGCTCGACCTATGCGCGCGCGGCGCACACCAATACAGAGTTACACAGCGGGTTAGGACAAGTGCGTAGAGAGCGGCAGAGAGTAGTTTCATGGAGTTTAGTTCCTCGTAGTGGATATGGCATCTTGACTCCTAGTAGTGGAGTGTGGCAAGCAATGGTCGGCTCGATCGATGTCTCGGCAACTTCCCACCCTCGACAGTCTGCCCCACTCTTCACGACACGTCCCCCCAGCTCCCAGACCCCCTCTCAGCACCACCATTCCAACCCCACTCCAACTCTCCTCATCCCAACCGTCAGATTCCCCGTCTCGCTCAACCACCTCCCGCTGTCCTCATCCTCCGACACATCGAACTAAATCCCGGAGCTGCTTACTGCTTCCAAGTCTGTTTACAATGGCGATGCGCTACCCCCATTATCCCGAGGTCGTACTTCACGTTTGAACTAAATCGCGTCGCTCGGCGCGGACGAACCTATTTTTTCCTTTTCCCCCCTGCCCCGGAAGTTGCGACTCTTTGTTTGTTTTAGCTCGTCCATGCCCCGCGATCCCGCTCGCGAATTACTAACTATTTTGGACCAGGGTCTGTTGCTACTGAGGAATCTCGGGTGCCATCGAAATGTTAGGTACAAGGTAAAATTTGCTTCGATCTTATCGACACCGATAGCGAATAGTTTCTGGCATTAATTTCTTTCCCGACGAAACAGATATTCGACAGGCAGGTGGTTTGGATTTTTGGGGCCGACTGTATCCGCGAATGTCCACATAACCAACTAAATGCTAACGGGCTATCGATTTCTAGAGTTTCGTATACTAAAGACAACTGTTGTAAGAATGCAAGGTAAGAAACTTACGTAATGATATGTATTATAAATAAGGTGACAATAGATGACATTCTTGTGTTTCTATCTTGACGAAGAGTTAAAACGTGATACGACAAATGAATCACAAGATTGCAACAATCACGATTTTATGCATTTATAATAATAATGGTTAGCTAAATAGCTAAGTTTTCTATTAATTGCTGACTTGTACAAGCCTAGAGGTCGAATACCGAATAAGAATGCATATGTTATACTTGCTCTCTGATTGGCCCATACTTTCATTAGCGACTCGTCAATAAAGCTGTGGACAACATTTCGACCGAGGAAAGAGTTATTTCAAACGCCCTCAGGAATCACCCCCTTTTGGGACACCCTGTATATGCTGCGCGATCCATGAGTAAAACGCGCGCAACACTGCAGCCCTTCCACGACCCAGCAGTAAACATAGGATTCGTGGCCATGCTTCAAGATTACGTTTCCGGTTGGTATTTGGACAACGTAAATTTCGGGACATTAGACGATTTCCGTTTGCGATGGCCGTTACCAATGTCGTAGCAGATTTAAAAGTTCCAGGAACTGAGGGGATCCATGGGTGGGGGATGCTATTCCGTCATGATCAAGTCAGCGTTAAATATGCGTGATCACAGGTGGCCGAGTTTCTAAGTGTAATAAATGGCGCTATTCCTTTTGCGTGCTTCAGACGTATTGTTTCCAGTTATTTACGTAATACATGCACATTTATCTGTTATTATAGCTATCCGTGTCCATTTTCCGCAAGACTGGCATAGACGAATAGCGATATCTATATTTTCATTCCATTGTCCACGACACCGTAGGAATCGATCAAGCTTGTAGCCTGAATAGCACACCCAGTAATTATGCTTTCCCTTATTCTTGAAAACAGATCAGTATGCATGCGTAACAGTTCAATCGTTCTGCAGACTGATTACGCGCAGAAATTGGCATGTGTCGCTATGCAAATTCATGTGGTACCGCTTTCTCATTTATGAGAGACAATTTTCGCATGACAGCGGACCGCGTGATATTCATACTGTTTAGATAGTTTGTAATTTTTATCAGTGTACGTGGTTGTTAATTCGTTTGTTTCTGTCAACAGTACGCAATTTATAGCATCTAAATTATTTGAAAGCGATTAGAAGCCTCGGTGTGATTTTGACATCAACGGAAAGGCTGTCTAAATTTACAACGAAACCTGGAAAGAGAAAAGGGACCCCTCTCGGGTCCTTTCCCTCGGAGATAGACGCTCCGTTAGATCGTAGCATACCTGATAGTTGAGTCAGATCAGTTTGCTAGCCTTACACAAAAGCGGCTAAGTAGCGACCAAGTGAAAGAGGATAGGAAACGCTGTAAGATATACACAGGACGAACGAAACGAATTTGAAGAGAACAGTGAAGAGAGGCATCGAAGCGAAGGGGGGGACAAGGGACCGAGTGGGGGCACCTGTTACAACGTCCAGATCGTTCTTTCCCTCTCTTTTCCTCTTTGTCGAGCACCCATCCACAACCAGATTCAACGTACACTGTGATTCTATACTAGCTGATAAAAACATCGAACTTTTTCGCTAGAATATACAATCGAACCTCGGCTATTCAAATCCCTAGGAAAGAGCTACATAAAAGGCTTCCTGAGATTTCTTTCCATTCTACAATCAATTTTTACTGTTTCAATTACTTTTATCTTTTTAGCCAATATTACGGATTTAGAACTCATTTTATTTCATGATTTTTATAAATCATTTGAGTTTGCCGGGGGAAGGGAGAGAGAACAGCTTCTTAAATTGTTTCTTTTAAAGAAACTGTGCTTTGGTATAACAGTATTAGAGAAAGTTGACGAATAGCGCTATATATCGCTGTATATCTTTCCAGGTATAGGAGAGGATGGAAATTCCAGCAACAATGCAACCATATTTCTCGTTTGGGACAATCCCTCAATCCTCAACAATTCTCACCTCGAGTACAAAAAGAACGGTTCCACGGACTTTTGTTTGCGACAGAGGTTTACAGAGCTGGCAAGGACTAATTCTGGAATGGGTACACCCTCATAAACTGTTAAGAATGACTTTCGTCTTGGGGAGGACACGCCTTGCGCAGTCCCCTGGGGCATTTTCCATTTCGTTACGGAAAATCAAGTATTGAATCTCAGGTAACTCGGACAGTGACGGCGGCAATGGTAGGAAGGACAAATATGTAGCTCGTTTAACGACGGGGATGTATCCCAAGAAACGGCTTCGTTAAGAGAAACTTTCTTGTCAGAATAAGGAAATAGCCATCCATCGACAAAATTACGCATACGCAAAATTAAGCAACTTGAAACACTAGTTAGACGTCGACTATCTGAAGTTTTCTTTTCTTCTTTTTAATAACGACATCTTTTTTTACAATTTCAAGGAATCGGGTCGGTTACATGAAAACTTCCTTTTCCAAGAACTGTGAGATATTTGTTCTCAGAACTTATGGTACAAGGAATCTTAGATTGGGGAGCTTCTGTAATTGCAGTTCTCTATAAAATTCCAATAAAACTTTAGAGCATCGTTTAACAGGATAGTCTTTAAGCAAGTAAAAGTAATGATACTTTGCATTGATAAAGACAGTTTACGCAACAAAACGGAAAGTTTTTCTATTTAGAGGATACTGTACAGTTCTCGGGCGTACCAAAAAAAAAAGTCTGGTTACTTAGTTTCGAAGCAGCATGTAGAACGTCGCTTCTGTGTAGCCCGTGGACAATCGATGTAACCACTCTCTCGTGCCTTTTACCGCACTTGTACGGATCCCGGACGAAGTGTAACGATGCCGAGAGATCGATAATAACCGCCGCGGTTTGGTTCCACCCGAGCCTCGTACGAGACAGGGACACTTTTTCCCCTTTACCGGCGTTCCTCCGTCTCCCTTTCGCGTTCTCCTCATCTGGCCAGCATGCACTATCTCTTTTCACCTCGCGACGATTTCACGCTGTAATTACGCGACAAAAATTGATGAAAGACAAGAAGCGACAAGTCTCTGATCGTGTTGTGTTTTCACCCCCTTTCTCCCCATACTACTTTTCACCTGAGGTTTTCGAATTTAGCACAGCTTGAACTGACAAAAGAATTTCTTTTTTATCGAATATAAATTAGTATTCGTCGACGATATTTTAGATAAGATCAAACGGTTGGACTTCCCAAAACGATTTTTGTATAAGAAAATGTACGTATGATAAGAATGCAAAACGCTTTTAAGTTACATCAAGATAACGACTCCGAAAATAGATCTCAAATAGTGTCAGAATATTTCCTTTGCGATTGTCTGAAATATTCAGCTAAGATTATCTTGAATACTAAAAAATGTTAAAATGAACTCAATTGCAATACAGACTTTCTTATCCAAAGGTTTATTTTTGTAATATCCTGATAGCAAAATATTATATTATCTAAAAATTTTATTCAAGTTCTCTGCTAGGCGATAATATATCTAAATGATATAATAGTTAGTTAAAATAAAACGTTTGGATACAAGAATATCGTAAAAATAAATGTTCGGATAAAGGAGACTCTAAGGTATTTAAGAAAAATAGTGAAAACACCCAATGGAAATACCGATAGACGTAAATACAAGATAATGTAAATTTTGTGCACGCGGAGTGGTCTAATTTTCCATACAATTACGCAAAATTGTTTCTCTTTTTGTGCGCTATGAAATCGGAGACAGCACGGTATCCGAATATTAATGTCAGTAACGGTACTCGATTCTATAAATACCGAAGAAATGGAAGATCGTCAAGGGAGATAACCGCAAATTTTTCGCATTATCGTTCCATTATCAGTGCAGGCAGATAACATTTCCAAATAGGCAGTTACGTGTACCCGGCACATCTGTACCCCATATATCCAAGACTTATGCAAGTTGTATAACGAATCAATTTCGCTCAGCGCATTACGTCCGGTAAAGGGAAAATATAATCAAGCGGGTTCTGCAAACGCTCCAAGCCGTGCTCTTATCTCGATCGTCGAGTTTGCTGTGATTAATAGGTATACGCCGAGTACATACTTTCGCGATGAAGCCGCTGCCGCCATCGCTGTTACATTTTTAAACCGGACGCCATCGAGTTTAGGCGGCGACGCTGCTCGGAAGGCGATAAACAATCATCGCGGGACGCGTATCTTTCCGTGCGAAACGAGACTCGACAAACAATAACAGATCCTTGGCGACCTCGTCGTTCCCCCTGAACCATGAATCATTGATAACACCGTCGAATCCGTTGCTCACGAAAATTCTAGTTAAAATGCCTATCGACTGCGATTATTCGAACCGATTACGCGCTATGCCGGGACTCGGCTCGGGTAATCGGTCCCGGGTAGACAATGCGTCGCGGCAAAATTGAATGCCAGTATTTTAACACGTTTGCGAATGACGCTTGACGGTCCATTATACCAGTGCAAAGATCGTGTACATTTCGAAACGTGAAATTCTTTGACGGTAAAACCTGTCTATTTTTACGACTTGATTTTTAACGAGGCTACTTATTGCAGAATCGAGAAGAAATTTGGACGAAAAGTTTCTAAACGAGCAGAAATTTGGTAACGCTGAATTAACAAGTAACGTTTTTAATTTATTATATAAATTTCACGTAACAGTTGGGAGCAAATTGCGGCGAGGGTACTCTGAATAGATCTTGCTAAGAAAACTTTGTTTACGTTCACACTGAGGGCAATAATAATAATGCTAGCAGATCGGTTACATTGATTTTTGTGAACAGCCTTTGGTAAACAATGCATTTCGATACATTGTTTATAACAGAATATATTTCGAATGGCCTAATCTAGTTTCACCGATTTCCTGTAAATACTTGTTTCGGGAATTGTGGAACGGTTCGATGCGTTGCCCCCCTCCCCCACCTATTCGACGAATTTCACCGAATATGCTAAGTGCAAGGTTTTTTACCGTTCGCTGTAAACGCTACCGTGACGTTTCTGTTTCACGGTGATCAATCAGCGGATGGGTTAATCCAGGGGAAGCTGGCTCGGCAACGAAGATATTCGTCGGAAGTGCGAGAGAAAGAGGGGAAAGAGGCTGAAAAGAGAAAGACAAAAAACAAAGAAGACTCTGTCGGTCAGTGACGGTGGCTCGAGACGACCTCCTTCGTCAAGCCGAACGACTTAACTTTCTCGAAGGATAACACGTCTGCTCGTTTCCTTTCTCCGGGCACGGCCGCGGGAGATGGATTTACGCGGCGCCAATGAGGAAAACGTAAATATACAAGACGCCGCGCATACACACCGCGGGCCGGCCGGCCGTGAGTGGGTTTCCAGTTAAAAAGAAACAGCGAAGTGTCGCGACGTGAATACAGGTCACAACATCGCTGAATAAGCAACCGAGCGTACACCGTTGCTCTCCGCGCGTTCAGCAAATTACGTAAGGCCAGAACGGGAGCTCGTTTAAATACCGACACAATCAACGATGAATAAGTAAGTTACGTGCATGTGGCGCGCGAGCGCGCACCTCACACCGTTCCGGAACAAAATAAGGGAAATGTGCGCGACGTTCGTTCCATATTCGTGTTAAATTCGGCGAAAGTTACGCAACCCTGGCCGACGCCGATGTCCTTTAGGACTTATCGTTAGCCTTCGAACTACGATCGAAGCCGAAAATGCGTGGAGCACACCGGTGCTTTTACGAGAGAACATACTGGGCTGATTTTGCCAAGTATTTTGGTAAAATCTGTGCTTCTTTCTGTCAATTTTTGCTCTGCCAGCACGCGTGCATTTTACTGAATAAATTGAAATAAATAGAGGTGTCTCAAACGTGTAGATTGCTTGTAAATGGCACATAATTACAATTTCGGTAGTTGCAAGATCCTTTTAGTTCAAGTAGTTCGTAAGTTGTTTAGATATCTATCACTCCCAACTTTGAGGGTTGCGCCCCTCCAACATGAAAGTAGTTTAGCGTATGTTAAGATCCTGCTAAAGTTGTATCAAAATCTACAATTACTGTGTCTCAATATGCTTCTTCTTTAGCGGGGGCTTGCGTACGTCTCTCCCACCTCTATTTCATACAATTGGAAGTGATTAGTAAGAAACGTGTTCGATCTTCAATATGTTGCAGTCATTTGAACCCTGTAGTTCAGATTAGTAGGTCGTTAGCATGCTTTATCACTTCCAACGGAAGCTTGTTAACCGAGTCCGGCAAGAACATCGAACTCTTGGAAAGCTAGGCCTACACGCCAATTTAGGTGTCACCGACGATAGGCCTAATCTAAAGTACATTTTTTAATCAAATTGTTTACGCGACGCTGATATTTTTTCGAGAACTCTCGCGTGCAGAATCTGTAGGAGGAAACGTACTTGTTGCTCCGAAACCGCGGTTACCGTTATTTAGTCTACGATATATTGTTATTAGGAAATATTGTCATCACGTTGAATCGGAACGCGACATCCATTCCGAAGCCATGGATTTGAATAGGAAATATCGTCGTTGAAATTGTCAAAAATAGTTATTTTAATTTTGGTAATTAATACCAGCTTCGGTAATTAATACCAGTCATGTAAACATGACACTGGCGGTTGACATTTTTCCTTTCTGCGAACAGATAATTGGAGTATGTATACTTCATCGATGAATCATAACGCTTGGTTGAAGCGTAGCGTAGTCATTAAGTCGTTATACGCTCGCGACAATTTATAAAAATAAATAAAACGCATGTAATCAATGTCCGTCGGTACAAGTTAAATAATATGAGCTAAAAGATAGCGAGCCACTTCAATATTTTAATGACTGAAAGATAACGTAAAAGATAATACACGTAATACCGTGTAGAGCTCTTTTGCAATAATAAAGAAAAAGCTGTGGGTACCCGAAAAGGAATCCGTCAGCAACGATATAAGAGGGAAACATGTGTTGTATCGAATTAAAGGATGCGGGCAGCGTGAAGATTTATTAAGGGTTCGCACGGCGGAATGGCAGAGTTGATGGATGAGGTTGAGAACCACGGAACCCGACAGTGTCACCCAAAGCAACGGAGAATTATTTTTACGAAGTTTGTGTTTGAAAAAAAAAAATGATGCTTTTTGACACCATATAATTTTCGTGCAAACGTATTGCCAAATTATCGTGACCGTTATTTAAGAAAACTTCCCGACACCCGAGTTCCGAGCACTCCTATAAAAAAACGCGTCACACGGTAATTGGTGCATTGTGGAGGCAGACGTGAAAGAAGTCGGGCTGTCGACAGAAGAGAGACTACATACAAATGACTGATATTCTAGAAGCGTCTATCCAAATGGCGGTCAGCCACATGACACGTACACTTAGCAGGATAATATGTGATTTACATCGGAGCTCGTACTGTTACAGGGGCACTCGGCTACACCAGCATGCCCCTGGGTAAATCAAATATCTTCACTTATACGATTCATGAAAATGTAAATGGGAATCTGTGCGAATTTGTATATCGTATACATTGTAAATACTCGAACGCGGGGAAAACGTACAGCGAGGAACGATAGGAAATTTTGGAAAGTAAATTCTGCTTGTGTAAATAATATATATTATTTCGTATCACGTTGCGAGGTGCTGCCATCTAACAATATTTCATAACAATCTTTTATACTCGAGGGATAATATGTCAGAAAATTCATCACCCCCCCCCCTCCCCTCCCTTCGCACGTGCACTTGCTATAGCGGTATAGGAAAACGTAAACGGAACAAGAGGATTAATTCCGCACTGAATTGTTCAACGAAGATATTCTATTTCGAGTGTGAACGGGAACAATTATAATCTTCGCGCGTAGAAAAACAGATCGAGAAGCATCTAATTATCCGCTGTAATCCCACCGCTGCATTAAACGTATCTGTAATGAGCTTGTAAATTATATAGAGTGTTATTGCACGCGCCGATCCACACAGACGACCACGGGTCGAGAGAAATGCAAGAAGGAGCGTGTGCATGCGACCATTTCCATTCGGAAATGGTCGAAGACTTTACCGAAGGTCAACGTCAAGATACGATTTCACAGTTCACTGTAGGGAAGAGAGACGACCGTTCGAACGAACCAGCCGGCAGGCGATCTCGTGAAACGTGGACTCGGAATTTCGTGGAAATTGTCTCGAAGAATTTGAAAACCGATGTTAAGGGTGTCGAAGAGGATACGATAATCAGACCAGCGGCGAGCGAACCAGCGAGCGGAGGGCCGAATAAAAAGAAAGGCGCGTGGCTCGGTGCTGGCGCGGCGTCTCCCGCCATATCACACTAGTTAGCATACTCGCACACCGAGTGTCATACACTCGCACACAAGAGAGCCGTGAAACGGTTAAACGAAGAACTAACGTATGCACCGTACACTGGTACGCGCACGGACGGAAGATAGAAACATATACAAATGCACACGCACGAACCCGCGGAATTTTCTCCGGTGCGTGTGTGCACGCATGCACCGTGCACACCAGGGGCCGCGCGAGCGACGCACACGGCGTACACTGAGCTCTTCGGCGGCGCGATCTACGCGAGAGAAAAACTGGAGCCGCGGCGAGGGCCACTCACTAACCTGTCGGAGGCGATTCTCCCCTGTATTCCTCGGTCCACAGTACTCCTGTGTACTCGTATATTTTCACCGGCTACACTGCGATCACCAAACTGTATTCACTCTCTCACACGGCGTTCTTACGATGTGTCTCTTTCGGGAGTATACGCGCGGTGTCTCGGCTCTGTATTCCGATTCTCACGGACGGTTCTCCCGGCGTCCACGGGTGACTTCGAGCCTCCCGTGGAACGATACTCGCTCGGATACGGGCACTGGGGTCACGCGCGCCCGCCCGACGCCCCAGTTATTCGCGAAAATCCCTCGATTCGACGAAAAACTTGGTCGACAATGCGCGGAACTACGCTCGCGACTGTCTCCCTCACTGGAGGAAAATGGCGGCCCCCGGCCATCCGAGTGACTCGCGCGCGCCACCGATACTCTCCGTCAGCGGCCGAACTCGCCCGAAGATCACCGATCCGTCCCGATCTGGCACTGCTGACTGCCGAACGGTTAAATATCGGCTGAATTTTTCTCAAATTTTCGAAAAATACTAAATTGAAGTCCCTTTCTTCTTGGTATAATTCTTCTTATCGCTTCACGCAAGAAATCGAGTAACTTATCTCAAAAGCTTTCGATGCTTGAAATTTTTCTGCGAACCTAACAAGTTCTTTGCACTCTACGGTCGTGTGTTTAAAGCAGTGTGCTGTGTTCACAGTAGGGGCCCCTCACGTGCCGGCTTCCCCTTCCAAATGCCTTTTCGCTGAACTTGGCAAAGATACGATATCAAGTTTTTCCGTAGTCACAACGCGTTCATGGTGAAAATTCCGCGCGAAATTACGAAAGCGAGAAAAGCGCACACGACTAGCAACAAGCTAATAACTTCCATTTCATATTTAACACGTTCGCACGTGTGAATTTTCATTCCGATGGAAAATGTTATGAATGCTATAACATTCAAATTTTGTGAGTCACATTATCATCCATTCAATTCTAAATAGTGTTAATTTTTATACACTTTAATGTAATGACTAACTGATTCATTGAATATTTTCATTTTATTTTGTTTTCCCTTGTAAGTCGGCTAAGTATTGAAGAATGGACAAATATAAAAATATTAAAAACCTTCGTCATTCGTATAATCATAAGACGTACAAAATAAGTAAGTCTGTTACAGCATACCTAATTATTCCGGATATTATAATGGAAATAAGAAATGAAAGAAACAAACGAAAACTCTAGGCTATCAGAAGTAGGATAGGTATTTGTAGCAGAAAGAGAATTGTATCAATGTAAACTACGACGGTTTGAATTATACGCGTCAATTTCGAAGTTTCTTTTGCACTCGTTGCAGACCGCCACCATCGTGCCGCGCAGAACGGTGGAGGGGATATCGTTTGTCTCCCGGGACACAACTTCGGACACCGCTGGTTTAAAGTGTTTAACGTTTGCAATAAATTTGCATATTTTTGTGCCGGCGAGAATGTAGAAAAATCTCGCATTTAATTACCGTTTTAAATCGGCAAGCGTAGAAATTACATTTAACCGTTGACAGGTTATTGAATCGAAATTTTTTTTTTGTCAAGACAAGTTTGCACGTGCGATTCTCGATGATTTTACTAATGTTTACCATAAACTGGTAATCATGATAAAAAGAAATACGGGACCACTCACCCTTCGTAAAAATTTCCGAGATGTTTACGAGGGAAACATGCAGATTTCCAAAACATTCAACCACGCGAACGTTATTAGCGTTTTCTATTCAGCTGCGTTGCACTTGAGTTACACGCTCAAATTTCGCGATTGGTCGAGCCTAAAAATTAATGCATTTCGGTAACCAATGAAAAGCACCAAAGTCCATTGGTATAGGAATAAGGTGGAACACATACAGATGAGAAATAAAATCGCTGCTCCGAAATCAAATACTGCAATAATGTTATAGATTTGTTTACCCCATTTTTAAATATCGTTTAGTGTTATGAAAGATGTCTCACTTTGTAACGACGACAACTGTTAATTGGTAACCAGTCGTTGAATCACATGATCCAACTTGAGAATCATCCCTTATTTCTTTCGTTAATGGAGCCATCTAGATTTACATTATAACACTAACGTTTTCATCATGCGTAAACAAACTGCTGATTATCTTTGTTAAAAGAAATCAACAGCTTTTGCAATTCTTGAAGACGGTTATGTGTCAGACTCGAGATGGACGACTATAACACGTAATTACTGAATATATTAGTTACGATATCATAGACGTGATTTTGCTTCGAATTTTAAGTACAGCATTACACGTAGTTTGAATATAACCAATATGTCAGACGTTAAAAGCCTTGAGCACCCAACGTTAAAGGTACCTAATCCTTTTATCATATCATGTTTATACCGTCGCATTTCTTATACGAAAAAATGACTTGCAATCTTTCGTTTTCTCCAATGAAACATTATTAATTATCCCAAATTATTTTAAAAAATAATCCGCAAATTTAATATTATGGTATAATTTACCAGAATATCTGATTTGTAGGTTCCTTACGAACTACTTAATAAAAAATTTCGGTCAGCTCAGAAAACCTTAGATAGAGAAGGTTCACATGTATTAGCAGCAGCCAATGAACTATTAAAAAATGATGGGACAGGTGTTCCTGCAGGAGAAATAAGTAGATTATTAGGAGGAGTTGTAGCAAAACTTCAGGTTTTGAAAAGGAAGGCGGAAGAATCTATTGCAGAGGAGTTACAAGCAGGAATGGTCTGCAAAAGACGATTGGACCATTTAAAAGAGCATGCTAATACGACTCCAAGTGTTGTAAACCAATGGCGAAGACAGAGACTTGATAGAATGTTGATAGAATATTTTCTTCGTAAGGGTTACTATAAAACTGCAACGAAACTAGCAGATAGCAGCGAACTTAGAGGTTTAACGAACATAGGTATGTGAATTCATGATTGTGCTTACGATATGAAGTATCATACATATTCTTTCATATTTTTAGATGTTTTTATGGTATCGAGAGAAGTTGAAAAATCTTTAGCAAACCATGAAACTGCAAGATGTGTTGGATGGTGCCATGACAATCGTTCTAAGTTACGAAAATTAGGAAGTACTATGGAATTTAATTTACGTGTACAGGAGTTTATACAGTTAGTGAGGGCAGACAGAAGACTCGATGCTGTCAAGCATGCTAGAAAATGTTTTGCTAATTATGATGATTTTCAAGAATTACATGAGATACAGTGTTGCATGGGTCAGTTGGCGTTTCCAGCTAATACATCTCTTAGTCCATATAAAGATCTGTTAGATGAGAAAAGGTACATGAATCTATCTATCTTCACATTGAATTTTATCAACCATCTTTATGCTTTAATCTGTTCATTACCAATGATAAACATACTTATACTTTGTACTCTGCTTCATCTTTAGCCTACTTCTAATTTTTTCATTTATCTTCAAATTATAGTTGCAACTATTGCGGGATAAGTTACTTTAGATGTTACCAACATGATGATGTTTCAATAATACTACAATATTTACAGATGGGACAGATTGATTGAACAATTCAGACACGAAAATTATAGACTCTTCCAATTAGCAAGCCAGAGTGTCTTTACAGTAGCTCTGCAAGCAGGTTTATCAGCACTGAAGACACATCAATGTTATAGCGCAAATAAAGAAGGGAGAAATCCGAATTGTCCAGTGTGCAATGAACCTCTTAATGAATTAGCTGCTCCATTGCCTTTTGCTCATTGTTCACAGTCCAAACTTGTTTGCAGTATTAGCGGCAAACCATTAAATGAGTATAACCATCCAATGATGATGCCGAATGGATATGTATATGGAGAACAAGTAAGTCAAAAGTTTACAGATAAAAAAGAAACAATTGCTTATTTATACTGTAACAAACAATTCATTGTTCTAGGCATTAGAAAAAATGGCTCAAGAAAACAATGGTACTGTGATTTGTCCGAAAACCAAAGAAGTGTTTCCATACAAAAAGATAGAAAAAATTTATGTTATGTAAAGTTTACCGAATCAGAAACAACTTGTACCATACGCAATATATCATTCTTCTATTCTAAATGTTTATTGTTTAATACTGTATACCATTAATAACAAAGGGAATAACATCTATTTTTAAGGAAATACTTTATTGCGAATTTTATTTTGTGATTACCTACTAAAATATAATAAGAATTGACATGAACATTATGTGTTACGAAACATGTTATACTTTTTCAATATTAAACGGTGTGCAGACTATCATAATATAATTGGTTATTAAGTATGACATCAAACTTGTCCTTATGCATTTATTTAACATNCTATTTTTAAGGAAATACTTTATTGCGAATTTTATTTTGTGATTACCTACTAAAATATAATAAGAATTGACATGAACATTATGTGTTACGAAACATGTTATACTTTTTCAATATTAAACGGTGTGCAGACTATCATAATATAATTGGTTATTAAGTATGACATCAAACTTGTCCTTATGCATTTATTTAACATC